ACCTTGGAGTTGTGGAAGCCATTAGGGAAGAACTGTCGAATGTTCCAGTGGATCCCACAAACGGTTTCATACAGGGACAAGTTCTACGACTTCTACAAGAACATCGTGAAGATTTGGAAGAAGAACTGGAAGCTGTAACAACTGCAAGGATGGAAGAGGAAAGGCGAGTGTGCCAACTAAGGGTCTGTTCAGCACAAGCTGATGGTAGCGGTGGAGAAGAACAACTTCAAACTGTTACAGTCCCTCTCCACAAGGTGAGAATGGAAAAGGAAAAATGGTACGACTCGATGCTCGCCGAGTACAAATCCTTGACTGCAGAAACAAAAGCTATCCGACCAGTCAAAAGGTCCGAGATTGACCCTGAAGCCGAATTGGTGCCGGGGAAATTGGTCTGTGTGATCAAGGCTGGAGGGAGATACAACTGTCGCGCTGTGATCTGCGGCAACTTGGCATCACCGGAAGCGGATCCCATGCCTTCCTCTCTGCTGTATGCCAGTGGAGCGGACGGGGTTCTGATAAGGTGTGCATTGCGAAAGGCAGCTCATCACCAATGGGATGTAGCCACGACGGACATCAAGACCGCCTTTCTACTGGCTCCTCGGCCGGTGGAACAAGGTGCCAAAACCGTGGCGGTGGTGCCGCCCAGGATCATGACTGATTTTGGGATTACCCAACCGGATGAGGTCTGGCTTGTCGACAAGGCCCTGTATGGGTTTCAATCCAGCCCTGCCCATTGGGCAGTGTACCGCGACCAAACAATGCGGCGGTTCACATGGCAGGGAGATGCAAGCCCGGGGGAGATGCAGAAGGAGTACAAGCTGGAACAAACGCCGGAAGGAAATTTGTGGAGAATCCTGTGTAAAGGTGGTGACGCTCCGGGAGAAGAAGTACGTCCTGATGGATATCGGCAAGTGGGTTTGGTGGTCGTCTATGTGGACGATCTTATGGTTCTTGCGGATCCTCACGCCAAACACAGCTTCTTGAAGAGGCTGAAGGAAGAATGGACTTGCTCCACTCCTGAAGAAGTTGATCACAAAGGCTGGGTTCGATTTTGTGGGTTCGAGCTCCAATGGAGCGGTCAAGGGGATCACAAGAAGTTGAAGGTGGGACAGCAGTCCTACACTCGGGATCTGTTGAATCGACATCAAGTAGAACACCCAAGACCGGTTCCGATGACGAAAGCGGATGCCGAACTTCCGGAAGAAGAACAACCAGCACTTGAAAACATCCGACAAGCTCAAACGGTGGTGGGCGAGTTGTTGTGGTTGTCCATAAGGACAAGGCCGGATATCAGTTTCGCCGTCAGCCAATTGGGAAGACAGGTGAACATGGGTGGTGAAAACCGCACAACAGGTGTTTGGTTACCTGAAGGGAACCGAAACTCAACATCTCAGCTATGGGGTTTGCACAAGTGATGATCGTGGTCCCGAAGATGATCTGCCATTTCACCGGGAGATGCAGCAAGTCGAAATGTTCTCGGACATTTCATTTGCCCCTGCGGGCGAAAGATCACTGCAGGGTATCCTAGGTTTTTATGGTGGAGGGTTGGTTCAATGGGAAGCCAGCCGTCAAGCTTTTGTGGTGTTGAGCACCGCCGAAGGGGAATTGATGTCCTACTTGGAATCCATGGTCATGGGAGACTCTCTGGCGTCTCTCATAGAGGTCGTGGAAGGACGGAAAATCGGGCAGAAGATCATCTACGGAGACAACGCGGCTGCAATAGCCATCTTAGAAAATCCTGACGGTCCGTGGAGGACTCGACACTTGCGGTTGCGAGCAACAGCCCTAAGGGAGCGGTTAAAGGATGGTAGTTGGATCATCCGTCACCTTCCAGGGGTAAAACTTGTGGCCGATTTCCTGACGAAGATCATCGCTGTGAAGCCCAGTTGGGAAAGGTTCTGGAGGTTCGTCAATCACCAAGGCTCCGGGGTTCCAAATGAGGAACCATCAATGGGGTCCAACCGTCGTGAAGAACAACCTCTGGGAGAAGAACAACGTCCAGAAGAACCAGACCAGGAGACTCCCTCCTGGGACAACTACCGAGATATCGCTGGTCGGTGCGTATCAGTGGTGAAAAAGGTGGTTGGTCTGGCCGAGGAATATCCAGAACTAGCCGATTTCCGGCATGAAGCCCTGAGCACTGCCATTGGAAGGCTAGTGCAAGTACTGGCTGATGCGTATCGCGTCACTGAATCCGTGGTCAAGGATCGGTTCCAGTTGGAGTCGGTCTTACCGTTTTTGGAGAAGAAGAACATTCCTGGACAAGTTGAACACCCTGTAGAAGAAGAACCTAGGGGTATCCTAAAACGGGGTAATAAGACCAAAAGGGGTAACTCAAAACCAAAAAGGGTTTATTTTTGGGATGAAAATCCACCAGTTTTGAAAGTTTTGCGGGTACAAGATCATCACGGTCATGTTGCCCAATTGCACAGTTATGAAAAAGAAGAACCCATCCCTAAGACCATCCTGGGTGATGGACAAGAGAAACCTTGGGACTTGGATTGTGCCAGGTCCGATCGAAAAGAACATCGAGCTGCCGAAGTGGTACCAAGGTCGGGTTCCACAGAACCGTGGGATCTGGTTGCAACTTGGGGAATTGGGTTTTTGGGGAATTCTAATGTGGTAGGTAAGGGGAAAAACCATCCTGAAACCTCAAAGGGGATAGCTCCGCAACCAACGGGATTTAAGTGTTTTTCCGTTAGGGAATTGGGGTTGTCCGCAGCAATTTATTTTTCCAAAAAGTTTTGGGCTCAAAAGCGTCCTCGTCTGCCTTGCTGCACCAGTGACAGCTATGGACGGTGAAGATGTTTCGCAAGGCGTCTTTGGTCAGTTTTTTGGCATACTTTATGCCATGATGGTCATCCTGGTGTGGGAAGTTTTCCGATGGCTGATGAGCCATTTGACACTCCTGGTGGTTCCTCAGTTCAATCGACAAATGGTGGAACAAGCTGAACTGATGGTGAAGAAGTTGGCCCTGAAAGATCGAGAAAAAGATGTACGTGGGGGAGAAGGTCATTCCACGGCGGCGCCAACTGTAGAAAAAGATGAACATCAGGAAGAAGAACCACGTCCGGGAGAAGATCATCGAAAGGAAAAAGAAGAAAAACCGAAGAGAGGGATGCTGATCGCGCCCATGATAAAAGGGAAAGAGGAAGAGACCGTCGGAGACGGGGTGAAACAGGGCGATCTAGGTCGCCACACAGGGAAAAGGAATCGACAACAAGGCGATCGGAGAGTGAAAAAAGCCCTGGCCCTTCTACAGCCGAATCGCGAGGTTCGGAAAGGGTCCCAAAGGGACCGATAGCTCCGCTGCCAGAGGGTATGAAAGCCCCTGGGAGACCGCCACCGAAAAAACCGTCGATGCCAACTCCCAAGGAAGAGGAAAAAGTACCCACCGATGATGAAGAGTGGGGAAAATGGAAGGAACAGAGAGAAGGATAAAAAATGGCTGATTACCTTGCAAGGATGAGATCAGTCTATGGAAAGGCAATACCTGCAGAGCCAAGGGAAAAACCTGCAGAAACGACCCGAGCCTCCTCCTCTAAGGCAGCTCCTAAGGCAGCGGCTTACTATGAAGTGGATGGAGGAGAATGGTATTGGTGGGATGGTGCATGGGGTGACAAATGGGAACCGAAAAAGAAAAAGAAGAAGAAGAACAAATACACCGAGGCTGAATGGGAACAGTGGTACAAGGAGCATCCGGAGGAGGACACTGAGTCTTCCCAGACACCAAGAAGGCCAGCAGAACCGGAGACTCCGCCCCCGGCCCAAAGACCAAGGATTCGTCCGGGACAAGATTTAATTCGACGTCCTGAAGACCCAGCCAGCTGGACAGTTTACATGCCTGAGGTGGTCATGCGTGAGGTGGAATATATCATCTCTGGAGAGGGCACAGCATGGATGACAAAGCCGCCGGCCGTAACAGGCTTTGAAGAACAGGGTCAGGCCATTGACATGTGGCATGTTCCAGCCCCTGGGGACTATGGACGAATCATCACAAGAATCCATTACAAATGGAGACAGAATTCATTTCATCCAGATCACCCCACTTTACCGAAAAAGGTCGACCAGTTGGATCCTTACCGGGTCACATTTTTGTGGAATACCCTGGACAGCAACGAGCGAAAAATAATCTTGGGTTTTGACTGGGAGACCAAGTGGGTCGAAGACAAGTGGGTGGGATACACCGTTTTCCTTGTCAAACAAGACCCAAGAGATGTGGCGAAAAACTCACCCAAAAGGAAATAGGTCACACGGAAAAGCACATCGGTGGCTGGAGAAAAAGATCAACAAGACCCAAGGAAAAGATCATTAGCTGCCGGTGGAAAAGACCAATACAGGGAAAAGCTCATCAGCTGCTGGACCCAAAGAACACCGTTGGGCGCTCTTCGAGGACAGCGCTGGTGAAAGAGGGAATTCAAAACCTACGAAGTTAGGGCTGTAGTTTTTCAATTTTTGGAGTCAACCCGAAGTGGAACTCCACGCGACCCTTGGATGAAGGGGGAACCAACACCAGCCTGGGACTATGGCACACGAGGGTCTTCGCCCTTCTGGCTGGGGGAAGGGCGAGTTCCCAGAGGAAACGTGGCCACCCCTGGAGCTTTTGTTTTTGGTGTTGGGGAACCTGGATTCCTGCAAGCAGGAAGGGGGAGTGCGGTTTGGGAAACATGCACAGAGTACCACTGCACCCCCACTAAGGTCTTTTTAAAGTTTTCACAGTCGTTGAGACGTCCTCCGACTGTTGCAATTTGGCTCAAGGCTCAAGGGCCAATCAACTGACTGGCTCAGTTTACCGAGCCCAACTGAGCCCAACTTGGAGTGAAAAAGTGCACTTGCATCTGCCTCTTGGTGGGGACCTCCGGGAAGAGTCTCGGTCATAGTCTGAAACCCGTGCCATTAAATTACCAGTAAATCCCATTAAACCACCATTAAGCCATCATTAAACCACCATTTTGACATAACCATTCTCCGCTGGTGGCGTTTGCCCTTGGTGAACTCAGGTCTTGCAGGTAGCCTGGTCCTTTGCCCTCAACGAGTCCGAAAGGCGCTCCAAGGGTCGATGTCCATACCGTATCTTGTATCATAATGATTCATATACATTCATTCATATATATATATGTATAATTTCATATATAATATTCATAATGTAGCAAGGGAATTCTGTGTACAGTGCACTGAATGTGGCACTGAATGTGTTACTTCTGACATCAAATGTCACCCCTGGACACCGACCGCTCCGCTAGGAGTCCTCCACTTGAACTCGTTTGCTGCTACATGACGCCACCAGAGGTGCAGCATGTCGCAGTGTTTAAAACCCCTGTTGGATCCTGTTGGTTGATTTTATTAGCACTAAAAAACTCAGCGTTTCCAACACTTTTCTAATCGTTTCTAACGATTTCTGACCAATATTCTCTGGTAATTTAACAGTTCGCTATTGAAAATGGGTATTCTAACCAATACTATTTCTAATAGCTATGTTATATTTCTATCCCATTTCTAACCATTTCTGAGCGATATGAACACGGTGCTGAAGGCGCCGCCACGGCTACGCCGGAAGCCCGGTGTCCTTGGCCTCGAAGCAACCCAGATGGACGAGCGCATCACGGTGGCTTCCTGGATCCACAGTGGTTTCCACCTTGGTTAACCTCCTTTAACAATCCTTAACCATCCATTAACTATAGGTTAATATCATCAATTAACCATCCATTAACTATAGTTAACCATCATTAATTGACCATCCATTAACTATAGTTAACCATCATTAATTGACCATCTAACAATCCTTAACCATCCATGAACTATAGTTAACTAATGATAGTTAATGATGGTTAATGGTTAATGATATCATTTGATATCCGTTATAACTATAGGTTAATATCATTAATTAACCATCATTAACCATCATTAACATTTTTGGTTGGTGGTTTTAAACATTTTTCCCGTTTATGCGTAGCGAAGGGTTCCCGTTGATCATCTGGGGTCCATATATGGGATTAGATGGGATAATCCTTCCCATTGACGAAGTCCATCATTTTTCAAGATGGTTGAAACCACCAACTTTGATGAAACTCTGATGACACTTGAAAATATGAAGAATCAGATCACGTTTTGTATGGGCCCCATTTTGGTCAGTCTTTTTGCAGTGCTCAGCAACACGCTCTGTAGTCATGGCATCGCTGTTTCAGGTTTGGGATACACCAGTCACTATCGGGGATCGGGCCATCACTCACTACCAGGCTGCGGCAAGCTGCTGCAAGCTGTAAGCAGCTTTGTAGATCCACCAGTTATGGAGTCTTTGTGAGACTCCATGAGATTTTCTTGTGGTATTGTGTATACCCTCTGGTAATTTAACGTAGCTATTGAAAATGGCCATTTATACAGTAGTTGATTTACCCATTAAAAAATTGTGATTTTCCATAGCTATGTAAACGTTTACCAGAGGGTATTTGTATTGCGAAGAGTGTTCAGCTGTTCTCAGCTGTTCTCAGCTGTAGGTGAGCATGGTCCCCGTGCTGGTCCTTCAGTCAGGCGAAATTTTGCGCAGTACGCAGGTCTTGAAGGACACGGTGTCTGATCCTCAAATGGACACGGCGTCTGGCCATGGATCGCCCGGGGGATTTCCTGGGGGATTTCCAATCTGAGATTCGAACAGTCCCTGATTTGGATGTGTCATTTTGTGTCATGTTGTTTCACTCTTATTCATGAATTATTTGTGTTTCTTGCGGTAGATCCTTCTCACTACTCGTACCATGTTGTGAGGTCTGCAGCTGTTCAAGAGATGCAGTTCGATGGCTTGGTTCCTGGAGAGATCTACAACCTATCCGTAGCAGCAGTCAGCGCAGCTGGGGTTGGGCCCTTCACCCAAGAGTTGGTCGCTTGGATTCGTCACTTGGGTTTGTCTGAAAATAGGGTATATTCCCAATGAAATAGCCATTTAATAGGGATAATGATCATTAACCATTGGGTTTAGGGGTATACTATTTTCAGACACACCCATTTACTGCGAGGCCATCTGTGGCCATTGGCCCGGCCATGACTTGTTGCTCCAAGGAACTACGGGCATGCAACTACAGCACAGCGCCAAGCGACTTGGTCACAAAAAACGGCTGCCACTGGCGATTTTCCCATGGAAAAACAATTCTTTTGTAAAAAAAATAGCGTAGATATTAGCGTAGCGCATGTTTGCTAAATCTTCGTAAGGTCAAGAATTGATGGAGTATGAGCCGTGTGCACATATGATATATATATATATATATAATATATGTATACATTGTAAATGTTTTGTATCTCTTTGATCATGTGTATACTAATATTCAATATACGCGGTGTTGCGGTGACAATCTGAGGAGATTTGTATGTGGCAGATCAATCCGTGAGCGCAATCCTTCTTGCTTGGAGCGAGCCTTTCGTCGTTGGTGCTGCTGGCTTGCGAGGCCCTAACAGCTGCCACTGGGCAGTGGGCAGTTTAGTATGGAGGTTGGGATGAATATGATGGATGCGGCATTGAAGGTAGATCAATGATGATCAATGCAATTTGGTGTATGATTATTTGATTGCAGGCAGACTAATTCGTAGGTAGATCAGTGAACACAACTTATCCCGAAATATCCATCCTTTTGCTCCGCGTGCTGGGCAGACTACCTCATCTACGTCAACGTGAGCACCACATCGATGACTCCTGCACCCTACTTGATTGGCAGCACAGCACCAGGATGCCAGATCTGCCACTTGTGGTGATCACCATATGAAAGAGACTGGTGGCTTGGTTTTCCTTGGTTTTCAGTTGCAGCTTCGCTGAAACATGATCCAGGATTCAGAGAATCCCGCCGTTTGAAACATTTCTTGTCACGGGAAAAACGCTTGAATGTCTAAGCTCGCACACATATATATCTTTACACATGGAAAAAAACACATACTGATAACTATGATGATATTCTATGTATATATATATACATATTATGTAACATGTATGTATGTACAATTATATATATCATACATAGTGCATAGAGATAAATAAATAAAACACATATATTGTGAATATATACCTCATATATAAATCCAGATGCACAAGTACCCTAGCGGGTGGAGCAGGAGAGACGAGTTTCAACGTGACTGGCTGGAGCTACGTTGCCACGGACTCCCGCTTGCGGAAGATCAGTCTCATCCCAGGTGCGCAGCCTGCGCAGCTGTTCGCAGCCTGCGCAGCTGTTCAAACACACATTGGTTGATCCAATCTGAATCTATTATATACAATATATACATATAATATAATATGATATAATATGATATAATATAATATGATATAATAAAATAATATATATATATATCACACACACATACAGATATATATATATATTGATCTATGCAATCCCCACTTGCGGTTATTATCATTGTACTATACAAACATTGTGGAAGCGTCGAAATTGTCGTCCAAGTATCGTTTTGAGGTCACAGCTACGACTTCTTCGTGGAAGCGAGGAGCGCTGCTGGCATTGGTCCTGCGTCTGCGACGCCGCTGCTGAGGGCCTTTGCTGCGTCAAAGGCCTCAGCGCCACAGAACTTCGCCATCGATTTGCAGTCCCTGAGTACAGGCACCGCCAGAAAAATCATGATCCAATGGCTTCATGAAGATAGTTGTTCTGGATATGATTTTCCATAATTTTCCAAAGAGATTTTTGGAAAAAGGTCCACATTTTTTTGGTGATCATTTTTGTATTAGCCTCTGGTTATGACTAACAGGGCTAGCCATGGTATAGATGGCCCATTGAAATAGATGGTTTTCCCAGCTAGAAACCTCCATTGATGAGGGATTTTCTATGGCTATGTTAAATAACCAGAGGGTACATCTTGAGTATGCTATGTCAGCTATGTCAGCTATGTCAGCTATGTCAGCTATGCGTCTACCGTCCAGGCCTGGCGATACTCTCGTGGACAGCACCTGCCTCTGATGGCTCCTCCTCCATCACGGGATACAGAGTGCAGCGCAGGTGGATACGTGGAGCGGTGGATCTGTCTGACCTTATTAGGTCCCCAGGTATCCCAGGTATCCCAGGTATCCCAGGTATCCCAGCCCCAGGTATCCCAGGTATCTGATAGGTATCCCTAAATCTATTGGTCATTCTAACTTCCCAATGATTTAGAATGGACATTTGGAGAGTATTACTCCATTTTTAGAGACACCCAAGAAATGCTAAGGACATGTAAAAACTCGGAACAAAACTAACGTGACTCAGTCAAGTTCAAGTCCTTTTTATTCTCATCTCTTCTCTAAAGTGTCTTCGCTCGCAGGAAGGTTTGGCCTGGCACATTCCTGACTCAATGCTCAGCTGCTCGGACAGTGAGAGTTGATACATTTCTCGTGCCTGTTGTCGCCAGTGACTTTCTGAATCTTTCAAAATAGACGCGCCGGAACTAAAAGCCAAACTTGCCATCCACATGCATTTTTGTTAACATTTGCATTTAAGTCCTTTGCCGATCTTTTCATGTTACGCCTTGTTACGCCTTCACAAGGTGCTGATCAACAACTTGGGCGATACAGGCGGTGTTTGCGCCTGGGATTCCAACTAGGCACTGGGCGACGGTTGTGATGGGCATGGTTCAGTGGTCAGGGGTGGTCTGTGACTCTCAGGGAGTCACAGACTCCCCAATTGTTCACCTGTCAGAAGTCTTTGATTGGTCTTCTTGCTATTTCTTGCTCTCTCAAGGTGTGATTTCCAACTTCTCGGATTTTGGCGCTGCAGATCATGATATCGTACACGAACAACCTGGGAGGGTGCGCATTTACACGGGTCGCAACTTGGTCTTCACATGTTTTTGCAAGCTCCATCCGATTCTCCAAAGTCAATATGAACCATTGCAGATTTCAACGAAGCATTCGATACCAAGAGTTGATTCTCTGAGATGGGTTCGGCTGAAGTGGTATGAAGTGGTCATGGAATCTCTGAGGAACGGCCGTCAGCAATGTGCAACGAGACCAGCAGAGCTCAATCAGTTGCTCCACGGACCCCGTTTCGCGAAACGGCTGTGAAGAATTTCAGACTTTTGAGACGCCGCATTTGATATATCTGTTTGTGTGACATCAAACACGAAGGTGCTGAGCAGTGGTTCACACTGTGAATCATCTGACAATATGTGACAATCAAAAGACCAGCGAATCAGCAACTCTCATAGTTTTGGAATGTGTTGGACTTAGACAATGTCACAATGTCGGTGTGTTCAGAAAATGTGGACGGAACTGTCGGTGAGGAGATCTTTGGTGATCCGTTGTTCCCAACTGCTGCCTATGACCCTGGCCTCAACTTTGAGCCGCTGAGAGAATGCTACGTCATGATGGAAAGCTGCACTGAGCTGATCGGAGACACTTGGCATATCTTCCATCGACATTGATTGTTGTGGAAAGGCACTGGATGTTGGATTTGATATTTTAGGCATTTTTAGGCATTTTTAGGCATTTTTGTATATCTTCCATCAAACACATGAAGAAGAATTTGTGGAGAGGCGATGTGCCCGGGGCATGTTGATTTGTAACCGTGCCAGTTTCAGAAGCAGGTTCGTTGAGCATGAGAATTTTACTTGCCTCTAGTCAGTTTGAACATTTGCATTTGGTCAGAAGAGATGCAACGTACACTGATTCCAAAGATTTCTTGAATCCATATGAGCAAATTGTTGAAACAAGTGCGTGCAGTGCTAAGGGTTGGTACGATGTCAACGGCAACTTGGTAGACTGCACCTGGTATTCTGATGATCCTGCACGCTGCAGTGCTGTCAACGTCACCTACCTGAATTTCTTGCCCTGCTTTTGTTTGGCACGGATATTGGCAAGTCCTTTACAGTGTCTGTACAGGTTACAGACAGAGAATTGGGATGGAAACTGTCTCCTTCAATGAACTATTCAAACAATTTCAAACACGTCTTGCTATGTCCTACCCCTCTGCTCAGTGCTCTTCTATGCCGTTTGCACATCACACATTCGGAGCAAGGCTTCCTCAGCAAATTCCAGTGCATGTTGCGCTTGTGGTGGCGGCCAAAAACAGAGAGAGCTTGCCTTTTGCGCCAAGGACGCAATCGTAGAGCTCTGCAGGGACAGATGAAGTCGTCAAAGTTTCCATGACATAGACACAGATGTGAGAGGCTTCCCCTTGTCCTCAGGAGGGAGGAACTTGCGAATTGAATGCTTCCACTCCAGCATTTGCAGGAACCAAGGCGAGCTTACATGGGATTCTCATTGCCTCATTTCTCGATTTGAATACATTTCAGCAACGTTGTAATATGTTGCAATGTTTTTTTAAAGAGGCTTTGCCATCCACCCCTGTTCCTGTCCGGGTTGTGCCACCGCAGTCACTGTAGATTTTCCGAGGCGGACTACTCCGATGGCATAACGCCAGTGTATTTTGGAAAACTGGAGAGTATCTTATGGAACATCAGCGACAGTAGTGGAGCCTCTTGGACTGGGTGCAGTTGACAACTCTTTTACCTCCCTGAGAGAAAAAACACAAAACCATTTCAACATCTTTTGCATGTTTCACACACTTTATCATTCCTGATTTACATGTTTTCTCACCTTGCTTTCCACATTTGCCCACAGCTTCTGTGCCAGACCGGTATCTTTATCTCAACGGACTTATAAAAAACGTTTGTTTCTCCTTGCTTTCTCGACAATATTGGGCAACATTCCCAACAGCGAATCTGTTGGGTTTCAATCTCTGGGGCCGGGGACTGGTGACACAAAAATGCACGCCCCGAAAAACCGGAGCAGTCTTGGAACCTTGCTGGAACCTTTCGCTGTTGGATTGCAAAGCTGGAACAATCTGCAGGCTCTTTTGCTTCAAGGAAAAAAGCCAAACAAAACGTGTCAGAAATTTACTTGTGAGATTATATGCATGCTTTTGCACGAGCATTTGAGGCATCTTTCAACAAGTGTCCTAACTAGAACTTTGTCATTTTCTGAAAACCATAATTTCAGGACACCAGTACTCCAACTATATCTACTGGATTTGTGTTTCACAACCGTGGCGTGACTGTCAGAAGTTTACTTGTTAGTTTATATACATGCTTTTATGCAAGGAGTTGAAGCCTCTTTCCACAAGTCTTCAAACTAGCCTTTTCCATATTCTGAAAATCGTATTTAAGGACACCTCTCGATCTGTTCTCCAACTATACCTACTTGATTTGTGTTCAGAAATGTTTGAGTTGTCACACGCAATACGTCAAACTAACCACAAGAAACAATGCATAAGTTCCACAGGCAAATCTAGCAAGTGTGCTAACATACATGATGTATATTTTGATATTACTGTATATGATACTATATGATATGATACAATACATATAAGTTAAGTAAATATATTATCAACATATGTATATAAATATGTACATATGATATCTCAATATCTCATTGTCACGCTAAGGCTGTCTCCTGCAGTCGTGCATTTGGTGGAGAAATTACGGGAGTCAGCGTTTTCGACTACACCACCCAACAGCCTCTCGATCGCACCCGCATCATCACATCATCCACATTTCATCCACAGCACCATCCCCCTACTATATCCTAATATTAGTTGCACCCGTGGCACCCGATTGTATGGTCCCAAAGATATTTAAAGCCATCCCCTACATCCACCGTGGTTTCTTTTTTTTGGGGGTATTTGATCTGCACAGTAGAAGGGATAATTTATTCAGTTCCGATCGTTCTTCCCGACAGTTTTTAGAGGTCTCAGCCCAGGTACTGCTATCTGGTTGAGACGATCGGTGCTTCATGGATGGAATTGAGTGCTGAAACGTACACCAGTACAGCAACCAGCTACACCGATGTCTCTTAGCGGAATGGTGCATATGGGGGTTTCCTGAAATAGGGGAAACCCCCAAGTCATCCATTTTAATGGGAATTTCCCTTATAAACCATCCAGCTATTGGGGTACCTCCATGACTATGGAAACCCCCTAATATCAAGACACATTGGACTTGATTGTGATGTTCAATGGATTGGTTTAAGGGAAAACTTACAGGAAAACACCAGATTTCATAGGGAAAATCCCATGGGTTTCCTGTAGATTTTCCCAACAAAACCAATCCATGGTTTCCTGTGTTTTTTGCGGACAGCCTTTTGGACACCGCCGAGGTGCGCGGCGTCATCAGCCATCGATATTTGTATCGTGCCTATGCAGAGAATGGCGCCGATGGTGGAGAGACCAGCATGACGCAAGAGATCTCTGCCGTCACTTGGACTTACCCTCTGGTAAACCTACAAAAAACTATGGAAAATCATCACTTTGAATGGGAAAATCCACTATTAATGGCCATTTTCAATAGCTATTTTGACATAACCAGAGGGTAACCAATCCCAATCTCAAACCTTTGCACAGTGACACAGACACGCAAAGAGACACACGATTTGTTAATTTGTTTCTTGAATATTCCAAATCGGGGGGTCTGCCGGTACTCTCTTGAGATCGAGCCAGCATATGCTGAAAATAAAGCCGGGATGCATTTTCAAACAGAACCAGTCATGCTACCCGGCTCTAATTCTACGGGCAAGTCCCATCTCAATCTTTTTCACCAAATCTGCTACCACATTCTGTCACTTGATTTTGTGAAATTGCTACTCCCTTAGAGCAGTGAGACTCAAATCTTTCAGGTGATTGGGGACCTGCCAGCGGCGCCCGTGACTACTGTTCTGGGTTCAGATCAGATGAGTGTGCGGATTTCTTGGGAGGAGCCACCAGGACAGGATAGAAAACGTCAATGAAGGGACTTTGCATGGCAATCATTTGGCATATAGCATCATATAGCATCATATGGCATTATTTGATATTAGTTGGCACTATATACATATATATATATGCAATCCATTATATGCAAACACATGGCATCATGTCAGACATGGCAGACATGGCATGTGGCATCACGGTGGTTGGAAATTCGTAGCTCTCAGGGCTCTCCATCTGGTAGGACGCGGTCTTCCAACTCAGGGCTATCGGGTCTACGTTGATGGCGAATTGGCCTACGACGGTGCCACAGATCCAGTGACCCGCGAGTGACTTGGAGCCATTGAACCTCACCAAGCATTCGTTCAGTTGTCTAAACAGAACTTGTCAGAAGGAGTTGTTTGGTGCTACTTCCACTGCCATGCCTCTCTTTCCGAAGATGAACATTTACATGCACGCGGTTGCAGACGACATCAATTTCAGGCATGAAAGCAGACTGATTTAAACAGAATCCCTTTGGTGAGTCTGTTGAGGTTCACGTTGCTGAACTGCACACGTGGGGAATTGGCCGATCTCGCTGTGGCTGCTGTCAATGATGCCGGTGAGACATTGGTGCCCTGTAAGGATGGGTCAAAGTCGACCCAAGCAAAAGCAATGTCTCGAACAGAACCAGAATCGTTAGTCATTTGATGTTCGCAGTCCTCAACTCTCAACCATCAAATGTTGATCCAGCAACCATCTGGATCCATGGCCATGTAGCTGTGACTTTTGAATTCGGAACATTTCTGCTACACAGAGCTGCTATTGCCCTCTGTCAAATCCCATTTATAGATGGTTTACCCATTCATAATAGTGATTTTCCATGGCTATGTTAGTCATAACCAGATGGTAACTATAGTTATATCTACCATAAACCATAGAATTCAACCACTTTGGGACACAGCTGGTGCCCTTTAAACAGCCGCGGTGTTTCGTTCTTTTCGACGAGGTGCCAACGTTGATCACCCGGCATTGTGCACGGCGACCTTATCGGCCTGAGCGACTTGGTTCAGCTGTGATTTACTACATCTAGAATCGGGAATATTCATCCCAATAATGATAGTACAATGATCATGACATAATAAATAGAACAATATAGTATCTATAATTGGGATGATAGTACATTATCATAGTATTATATACTATAATTGGGAATGCCATCATCCCAACTGACGAAGTCCATCATTTTTCAGAGGGGTGGGTATACCACCAACCAGTATAGTTACTACATATTTACTACATATTCACTACATTGCTACATCATTCTACATCATTTTCGCATTCTGTGGCAGAATTCAATCTCTCGAGTCCAAGCCGTTGTGCCCCAGGGCCCCAACCATCGTCTCCGTGGACTGCCGAGAAGAGGCTGCTTCTGCCAAGTAGAGACGAAAACTTCCATGATATCAACATGATATAAACTGGTTGGTGGTTTGGAACATTTTTCAATTTTCCATATATTGGGAATAATCATCCCAACTCACTTTCATATTTTTCAGAGAGGTTAAAACCACCAACCAGTATGAGACCAAAGCAAATTGGGACTGTTGGGAACAAACATTTTTATTTTCCATAATATACAGTAGAGTATGGGATAGTCCTTCCCATTGACTAGTATTTACATCCCGGCGGAAGGGAAACCGCGCGAGCGTTTTGATTGGTTGCTTCCAGGAGAGTCACAATCACCTGTAATTTACAATATAAAATGCTCTTCCGCTCAGTTTGGATAACTGAATTTGGGTTAAAAAAAGTGGATGCAAAACTCATTGAGTTTTAACAAATCCAGGTAAACATCATGTGCATCAGACGTAGTAAACGATCCCAGAGATCTCAGCAGCGTAGCAACATGTCACGTAGTAAACGATCCCAGAGATCTCAGCAGCGTAGCAACATGTAACGTAGTAAACGATCCCAGAGATCTCAGCAGCGTAGCAACATGTAACGTAGTAAACGATCCCACAGATCTCAGCAGCGTAGCAACCTGTAACGTAGTAAAAGATCCCAGAGATCTCAGCAGCGTAGCAACCTGTAACGTAGTAAAAGATCCCAGAGACCTCAGCAGCGTAGCAACATGTCACGTAGTAAGAAAGTCCCAAGGATCTCAGCAGCGTAGCAACATGTAACGTAGGAAACTATCTCAGAGATACCAGCAGCGTAGCAACATGTAACGTAGTAAAAGATCCCAGAGATCTTAGCAACATCGCAATATATCCTGTACGAAGTACAAGGAACGTTAACATGCCCCCCACCCCACCCCACCCCAACCCCAACCCACACTAACATGGCAATATATCCTGTACGAAGTACGAGGAACGTTAACATGCCCCCCCACCCCAACCCACACTAGAGATCTCAGCAGCGTAGCAACACGTAACGTAGTAAAAGATCCCAGAGATCTTAGCAACATGGCAATATATCATGTACGAAGTACAAGGAACGTTAACATGCCCCCCCACCCCACCCCACCCCAACCCCAAGACAAAGAGCAATACTCAAAAAAGAAGCAAAACGCACGTACGGTTTTCCTGCCGTAGGCATTTACATGATACAAACATATGATATAAACATGAATAAAGGATAATAATGGAATAGAATAGAACATGTACCCTCCAAACCCCACGTTCGCCCACACCCAAATAACACACCCAAGCAATATCATATACTTGTCACCAGAGGATGAATGAAAACACTGGCTATACGCAACGATTTTGACTTCAGGTTTTTTAGGATTTAGGGTTTTAATTTAGGGTTTAGACTTTTAGGATTTTAGGATGGTTTTAGGGTTTTAGGGTTTCAGCGTTTTAGGTTTTTGAAAGTAAACATCGCTAGCCATACGGTTTTGGATTTGAGCATGTCAGAGGCAACGCCGGAGCGTGGCCTCATCGAGAACCACATACGCATAGCGCCTTGGTCGCAAAGTGTGGATTTTGAGTTTTTTTTGCAATATTTGTCGTCATGAACGTATTACACTACCTATCTTACAATTCCACATTATATTATATTGCAATTAATATTCGCCCAATTGGTTATACATATATATATATATAGAAACACCTAGTCTGAGCAGCTAAAAGAGGTTGAGCTTGTACCTTAAGGCAGCCTTTAGAGGGATTGAAAGCCAAAGAAAATTCTCAACTTACCCTCTGGTAAACTAACATAGCTATTGAAAATGGCAATTTATAGTGGATTTGCCCATTAAAATAGTGATTTTCCATAGCTATGTTAGTTTACCAGAGGGTACATCATCTTACATCTCATCTTACATCTCAACATCTTCAGGCTAAGGGTTTCAGATAGACTGCTGTGAAAAGAAGTTCTTAGCCTCGAGAAAGCACCATATGGGTGTGTCTTAAAAAAGGGGTATACACTCCAAATGCATCCGCCATAACGATCATAGGGAAAATGATGATTTACCATTGGATTTAGATGGACATATGAAATTTAAGGATGATATTATTTAGAATAATTTAGGGGTCGGTACCCTCTGGTAATTTAACATAGCTATTGAGAATGACCATAGAAATAGTGGTTTTTCCCATGAAAAATGGTGGATCTTTCCATCGCTATGTAAACGTTTACCAGAGGGTTTCAGACATTTTCAGAGAATCCGCAGATCCATATTATCATATATTATCATATATTATCATATATTATCATATATTATCATATATTATCATATATTATCATATATTATCATATATTATCATATATTATCATCATAATCCATTGTAATCCATCATCCATCATAATCCATCCCTTTCGACTCATCGAATCTGTTCCCCAGGCCTACAACGAGCCGGCAGACAATGGGGGACGACCACTGACGGGATGGCGCATCCAACGCGCAGCAGGGCAATCGCTGAGCTTCCGTGGTGTGGGGCCTTTGTGACCTGCTACAACATATGTCAAAATGGATTTCGGAGCCTAAAAAGATAGAAGATATTTATATATAGTAAATATATATATATATACATGGGTGATCAGATATGTGTACAGTGTAGACTATGTCACATGTAGCATATATGTTTGTATATGTGCTGCAGCCATTTTAGTGCTTTCAGCTACCTTTGAGCTGACTGAGTGAAAAGGTGCTGATCAGTGCTCAGGAGTGTTCATCAGATTTAAGAGCCCAAATTCTCTGTTCATGGTAGCGGAGCTGAGGTTCTGATACCCAGCTGTGAATGTGTAGGTGTCAACGCCGAGCTGCATCAGCTCTGGCGCGCCTACCCAGTGCCAACTGGAAAAGGTTGACACTCAAGCTCCTGAAAATCAGGAAAATCCAAAGATACTTCCATAACCTTGGAGTGCATCTCCAAAGGTACCCAAGGGTTCTCTTGAATCAGGTCTCAAAGCACCTGAAGAGCGACTAAGGATGGCTCAGCAACAGCAGCCACCTCAGCAACCAGGCACTCCACCAGCACCAGCACAAGGACAGACCAACGGTCCCAACATGTCCCAGATGGTTATGCAGATGATGGCCCAATTGACTCAGGGTCAGGCGCAGTTGAATCAGGCAATGACCGAGGCTATGAACCAGCAGCTACAGATCAACAGAAATGTTGAGAGGTCTGTTGAGTACAAAGACAGATCAGAGTTGAAAGGCATACCAAAACCTGACAAGTTCAATGGAGCATCAGGCACTTGGGATAGTTGGTGGTACAAGTTTAAGACATGGGTTGAAAGTTGCCACAAGAATGCTGTGAAGATTGTGGCACAAGTTGAATCTCAGTGTGACAAAGAGATCACTGAGTCAAGTCTAGAAGTAGACTTTGATGAAGGCGCCGAGCTAGTTTCAGCTCAGGCTAGACAAGCCCTCATATCATTGACTGAGGGAGAAGCGTTGGAAATTGTCAAGAACACATCTCGTGGTAGCCACTTTGGCCTAGAAGCCATGAGACGACTGTTGTGCAAATATGATCCTCAAAATCCTCAAGCCAATTCAGCCTTGTTGAAAAAGGTTCTGCATCCAAGTCAATGCAGTCTTGATAAGCTTCGAGAAGGGCTTGAGAGTTGGGAGAACTTGAAAAGAAAGTACGAAGACAGGAGAAAGAAACCACTTGAAGATGACATCTGCAGGAGTTGCTTGCAGCAGATGTGTCCCAACAAGTTGCAAGATCATTTGGACTTGCAGGCTTCGAGATTGACCACGTATGACCAGGTGAAAGCTGAAGTTTTGGCCTACCTTGAGAACGTCGAGACCAGGAAAGAAGCAAAGTCAGGAGCCGTTCCCATGGATGTGGATTCCCTTGCTAAGGGTAAGGGAAAAGGAAAACATGATAAAGGGAAAGGCAAAGGTAAGTCCAAAGGTAAAGACAAAGGAAAGAGTCAGTCTTCGTCTTGGTCAAACAACTCATACAACAAGTCTTGGAACAATCAGTCTTGGAACAATCAATCTTGGAATCAGCAGTCTTGGTCTAAACAGAATACCAATGACTCCAAGAGCAAAGGCAAAGGTAAGAAAGGTCAAGACAAAGGTAAAGGAAAAGGGGATCAAGGCAAAGGTCGTAAAGTTGCTAATGTTGAGTCTGACACTTGGGCTCAAGAGCAACAACCTGCAGCCTCATCTGGTGATCAACCTGAACCAGAGATCACTGCGCTGTTTGCCTTGGAAGACACTATGCCACCCAAGTCTGAAGCTCGAGATGAATCTTCTCGTCGTGGTCGAAGCCCAAGACGAGCAAACCTTCAAGCACCTTCAAGGAGCACTGTGACCAGGAGCGCTATCGTCATGGCTCAGAGCGCTTTGGCATCAGCTTCTGGGTCTAACAAGGAGCTGTTTGGCAAGATGATTGCTCAGGCTGAGAGCGCTGTCAAAGAAGCTCAGGACAAAGGGCGTCAAGCAAATCAAGCTCTTAAGGAACGCCAAGAAGCCCTGGACAAGTTGAAGAAAGAGGCAGCCCAGCATCACAAAGAGGCCAAAGAGGCAATGGCCAAAGTGAGGGCAGAAGGCCGTGCTGCTTCAGCACCGGCTGCACCCTCTCGTCGGATGCAAGCCGACCTTGATGCTGGAGTACATCCAAGAGCTGCCAAGAAGAAGGAGAAGGACAGGCAGAGAGCTGCCAGTCATCGAGCAGCCACCGCTGGACAAAGAGCATCCAGCTTCAAGCGCTATGAGTTGGCCACCTTTGGACAGGCCGACCCTGACAAGTGGGACAAGGATGACATGGGAGATCTTCCTGAACCTCCCAAATCAAGAAAGCTGGAACCTAAGCGCCACAGAGGAGGACGTCATTGGTCTGACAGACGTAGAGCAGATGAAGCAAGGAAGAAGGCCAATAAGGAGAAGATGAAAGAGATGAGCAAGGATGAGATCCCACAATGGATCCATGACAAGTGTGAGATTTCCTCTGAGGAGAGCATTTCCTCTGAAGGATATGAGTTTGTCAGCAGACTTGAAAAGCTGAAAACCGATCCTGAAGTCCTCAGCAAGTTGGACAACGTCTTGAAGGAAGCCTACGAGAAAGCCTATGGTGAAGTTCTTGACCTAGGATCTTCTGATGAGACAGATCCAGACGATTTGCCCTACAACCAGGAGCCAGCACCAGGCATGGAGGATGTGGTCGAGCATTGGCAGAATTCCTTTCGAAGACCCATTCCATTCAAGGAGTTGCATGAGAAGTGCAAAACTGTCTCCAACAAAGGGTATCCCTATGTGAAGTGCCAGTCATGTGGAAAGGCACTCAACTCCATGAGCGTTGCAAGCTTTTGGCAACATGTGGAGAACAAGCAATGCTATCCTCAGTATGCCCTGGAGTTTTGGAAGAAAGAGCATCGTCAGGTAAAGGCAGAGAGAGAGGCACGAGAAGAAGGAGAATCTTCCCAGAAGCGCCCCATGGATGATGCAGAAGCCAAAGATGAGAAGAGGCGCCAAGAGATTGCCAAGGATGAAGAAAGGAAGAAGCGCAAGCAAAGCTTTGAGGAGCACTACGAGCGCTTCAGGCACAAGGGCAAAGATGAAGTGAAGCCCGAGGTGAAGAAGATCCCCAAGAGGCCAGGGGAGAAAGAGAAGGTCGAGGAGAAAGAGAAAGAAGAAAAGAAAGAAGAAGAAGAGGCACCCAGAGCACCCATCGAGCTGAAGTCCAAATCCCCATCGAGAGCGCCTGAGGACAGCCGGGCTGATTCAGCCCAGGCGTCCAAGGGCAGGGGAAAGTTCAGCATGGGCACCAAGAGATTCCTGGAGAAGACGGTGCGTGATGCAGCTAACTACATGGAAAGAAAAGCCAGGAAGAAGAGGGAGAAAACGCCATCTCCCAAGCCCAGGAAGCATTCACCAAGAGGAGGAGTTCGATCTGATTCCAACCTCGACTTCCTGGGAAGTTTGGCATCTCAGGTGGATACCATTGTCTGGGCCACCGTTGACTCAGGGGCAGCAACCAGTTGCCTACCCAAGGAATTGGCACAGTCATTGGAGTTGGCTATGACACCTGTGGATGAGAAGCCGTTCACCAACGCATCAGGGCAGCCAGTCCAGGTGCATGGGGTGTGCAACCCTATAGTGACCATGGGTGAGAAAGGAGGCCCACAAGTCAAAGGTGTGGGACAGTTCCGGGCAATGGATGTTGCAAAGCCATTGTTGTCTGTGTCCAAGCTGGTTGAGAAAGGCTGGACAGTAACCTTCGGCCCCAATGGATCGTTTCTGCAAAGGGGAGCCAAGAAGGTTCCAGTCACCATGACTGGAGGTGTTTTCAAGATAGCCATGGATTTTCATGGGCAGCCCACAGAAGGGTTGAAGGCGTAAGTCCTGTGGAGACCACAGAGAGCGCAGGTAGTGGAGATGATGAACCGGGCAGTAGTAAGCTAGGTTCTCAAGCGCTACCAACTGCAGCAGCGCCGACGCAGAGAGAAAAAGAAGAGCATTTTGTCAGCCATTATCCTTTTAGGAGTTGGTGTGAACATTGCATTCGAGGTAAGGCAAAGGCAATGAGACATGTCAAAGTAGATCATTCAGATGAAACAGTTCCTGTGATCTCAGCTGACTATTGTTTCATGAATTCAGTGGATGACACTGTCATCACAGAAGAAGTGCAGAAAAAGCATGCACCAGTTTTGATAGTACATGATCGATGGTCCAAGTTGACCTACGCACACGTTTTGCCATACAAGGGAGTTACTCAAGGTCCTATTGGATCTAAGTGTCTTTTGAATGACCTTAAGAAGTTTGGGTACCCCAAGATGGTCATGAGGTATGACCCAGAGCCTGCACTCCGTAGTTGAGGCAGCCAAGAATGGTTTTGACAAACAGTTGGTTTTGGAAAAAGTTCCCAAAGGAGTCTCAGAATCCAAAGGGGAAATTGAAAGAGCAGTTCAAGCTATTGAATCTCAATCCAGGACACTCAGAAGTGCCTTGGAGACAAGCTATGGAAGAAAGGTGCCAGACGACCACCCAGTTTTGACATGGTTGGTTGAACATGCTAGCACCACTTACAATTTGTTTCACAGATCATTGGAAGTCAAAGATGGGAAGACACCGTACTCTAGACATCGTGGTCGTGAGTGGAGAGTGTCATTACCACCATTTGGGGAAACAATTGAATTCCTCAAAAGAGGTCACAAGTTTGAACAAAGATGGCACCAAGGAGTTTTCTTGGGAGTCAAAGACAATACCACTGAAAAGATAGTGGGAAATGCATCAGGTGTTTTCACTGTGCAAAGCATTCGACGCAAGAGTGCTGACGACAGATATGATGCCGAAACTTTGATGTCAGTCACTGGGGTTCCCTGGGATCCTCAAGCATCAAAAAGAGATGACATTCTGCTTCCTCAGATTGTTGGGGGAGATCAGCAGCCACTGGCGCCATCAGTGCCAGTTGAGCCACCAAAGAAGTCGACAAGACGACTTTACATCACCAAACGTGATTTGGACAAGTATGGCTACACCGCTGGTTGTGTCGCCTGTGATGCCACTAGAATTGGCAAGAGAGGCACTGGAGTTCATCACACTCCAGCTTGCAGAGAAAGGATGGAACGTCTGCTTCAAGCAGAAGAGGGCAACCTGAGAGTAGCCCAACATACGGCCAAGGTTGATTCTGGAATCACTGGTCAGAAACAAGAAGTGTCCGAAGAAGGCACAAAGATTCTTTATGGGTATTCAAGTGAGAAACCACAAGAAGTTCCTCACGGTTTTAAGGTGTTTGCGCGCCTTGACAAGAATGCAAGGTATCTCAAGGGTACTATGCCAGAAGGTCCCAGTTGGGATAACGTCTGGTGGAGAGTCACCAGAGATTTCAAAACAGGAAACATTATCAAGTCTGAACCAATGGATCCTAGTTTAGGAGATGAAGTCATCAACGCGCCTTTGATTGATGACGCAGATATCGTCACTGAACTGTGGTACTCAGCCACAGGGGAATCTGCTCCAAGTTTGCCAACAGCTGGACCTGCTATCGCGAGGCAGAGTCCTGCTACCGTACAAGCTGCAGATCCACCTGCAGAAAGCGCAAGCGCAAGTACAGCCTCAGCCAAGAGGGCAGGAGGCGAGCAAGAAGAAAGAGCACACAAAAGGTTGGAAATGTCTCCAACCAAAGGTCGGAAAAGACCTGCAGACTCAGGAGGCGAAACGTCAAAGTCCAAGGACAGCCGAGCTGCTTCAGCTCAGGCGTCTAAGGGCACCAAACGGCCACCTGAGAATGAGAGACCAGAAGACATGGATGACATAGACCAATGTCTTATGAACCTGATCATGGAAGATCGGGAGAAGTACCTTCAGTCCATTGAAGGTGAAGAAGAGCCAGTTTGTGAAGAGACAATTCCTCTTCCACCAGAACTGGAAGATGAAGCAGCCACATGGTATTATTACGATGATATCAGTGGAAAGATTTTAGACAGCAAAGGTGTAGAACAAGCCAGAAAAGATGAGGTCGAAATCATCGAAAGTTTTCCAGTTTGGGAAAAGATTCCCAGACACAAGATGCCCAAAGGGGTACGCACCATTGGAACACGATGGGTAGATGTCAACAAGCAGGATGAAGAGAATCCACTTTATAGAAGTAGGTTAGTAGCTCAAGAAGTCAAGAAGGGCTCAGGTTTTGATGAGTTCTTCGCAGCTATGCCCAGTTTGTCGGCTTTGAAGATGCTAGTTACAATAGCCGTCACGTTTCAGTTGCCAGACGCTGGAAAAGCTGTCAAGGAAGCCTATCGCAAGCGTAGACTTCTAGGATTTTTGGATGTGAAACGCGCCCACTTTTACTCAGATGCGACGCGTGAGATCTATGTGGAACTTCCTGCAGAAGCAAAGAAGCCTGGAGAAGATGTGGTAGGAAGATTGCTCAAGTCTTTGTATGGAACCAGAGACGCACCTCTCAACTGGGAGTTGCAAATACAGAAGGTTATGTTAGCCTTAGGTTTCAAGCAAGGAAAAAGCAATCCATGCATTTACTACCATGCAGGCCGAGACCTCAGAACTGTTGTACATGGAGATGATTTTACAACAGCCGGAACATTTGACAACATCAAATGGCTTCATGAAGAGCTGTCGAAGAAGTGGAAATGTGTGGAACGTGGTATTTTAGGACCACCAGGAACACCAAACACCATTCAGGACATCAGAGTCCTGAACAGAATTATCACATGGAAGGAGAATGGAATTTGGTGGGAACCAGATGCACGTCATGCAGAGTTGGTGATTGATTTACTCGGAGATGGTCCCCGAGGAGCCAAAGTCAAGACACCACTTGCCAAGGGTTCAGTGGAAGACCTCAAGAACGCCACTGTTTTTCTCAATGATGAAGAAGCAACCCAGTACAGATCAGTTGCAATGCGAGCAGCTTATTTGGCACAAGATCGACCAGATCTGCAAGTAGCGACAAGATCTTTAGCACAAGGGCTACAACGACCAACTACCAGCCACATGCTTATGCTCAAACGAGTTGCACGATACCTAAGGTATCGACCACGCATGGCACAATTCTTTCCTCATCAGAGCAAACTCAGTCCATTTGTGATGTGGTCTGATGCTGACCACGCTGGTTGCGTGAAGACGAGGAAGAGCGTGTCAGGAGGCGTCCTGATGGCCGGAGGTTGTTGTATCAAGACTTACTCTAAAGGACAAGGAGTAGTCAGTCTTTCGTCTGGAGAGAGTGAGTATTACGCTCTTGTGAGCGGTGCCAGCAATTTGCTTGGAGAAGTTTCAACCGCCAAAGACTGGGGTTTGCAACCCGAGCGTGAAGTTTTCATGGACGCAAGTGCAGGAATAGCAATGGGTTCTCGCAGAGGACTAGGCAAGGCCAAGCACGTGGATACTCAATACCATTGGGTACAAGACCGCGTTGCCAAGCGCTATTTTCGGCTGAAGAAGGTCGACACTGGCGATATGCTTGCCGACGTCTTGACGAAACCTGTCATAGAAGAGAAAATGAATAAAGCCTTGCGAAATATGAATTTTCACTTTCTGGAAGGTGAGCATCACCTGACACTGAGAGCATAGATGGCTTGAGCGTGGCTATGAGTAGCTGTACATATCAAAACTCGCCTAGTTCAAATAATTGGACGGGAGCGCCGTTTTTAAACAGGCTCGGGAGGCGTGATCAGATATGTGTACAGTGTAGACTATGTCACATGTAGCATATATGTTTGTATATGTGCTGCAGCCATTTTAGTGCTTTCAGCTACCTTTGAGCTGACTGAGTGAAAAGGTGCTGATCAGTGCTCAGGAGCGTTCATCAGATTTAAGAGCCCAAATTCTCTGTTCATGGGTCATTAAATGTCTCCATTGAACATCACCCAACCATTAGGTATATGGTCTATAACGGCTACTATAAGGTGATGTCCAATATTCCCAAAATGGGACAGTTACCAACCCCTGATATAATAGTGAACTGTTATGAACTATAGTGGGATATACATATTTATATATATATATATACATATGTCATCCACCGCTATTTCAGCAACATTTTGTTTTTGGTGCTGTGATGTTGATGCCTTGATCCACTGGCTATTTCTCAGGTTTCCGATCCCGGAGAATGAAGTCTATTTCGATGACTACAATGACCTGGACGGAGCTGGAAGGATTGGCTTGACATATGGGGAGATCTACAAGTATCGAGTCTTGGACCAGAATTTTTTTGGACCTCTGAATTTTGGGACCTAATGCCAGGGTTTGGTCCATTTTGGGGAGTGAGGTGAAGACATGATGATGCGGATATATTTGGATTAGTTATATATATATAGATTGGATTACCCTCTGGTAAACTAACGTAACTATGGAAAATCACCATTTTTGATGGGAAAACTCACCATTTCTATGGTCATTTTCAATAGCTTTTTGTATGTTTACCAGAGGGTAGATTGGGAGAGGTTTTTGATCCCTCAGATTTGGAGCTCTTTTTGATTCCCATCTGCCGAGGGGTTGTAGCTGTCAACGACATTGACGAATGGGACGATGAAAGTGCCTCTGACTATACCATCGTGAGATGTGCAAACGAGGAGAGGGAAGCATCGCGAAGCATCTGTCAGGTCTTGTTTTCAGGATTTGTGATAATCGTAATGGGGTGCCATTTGGGGATGGAATTCCAGCCATTTCTGCTAAACAGTGCGGATTGGTTACTGGGTTTACCCAATGATTCGTAAAGAGTTGTTTAAGCTGTCAACCTCCCCAGCAATCTCGCGAAGTCGCGCGAAGGCCCTCCCGACACCATGGTGGCTGCTGCTGAATGAAACTTCCACATCCACCAGCACCAACTTGGCCCTTCGCTTACAATCTGCACGAATTACCCTCTGGTTATGTCAACAGTTTGCTATTGAAAATGACCATAGAAATAGTGGATTTACCCATTGATAGCATGGTGTTTTTCCATCGTTTTTTGTATGTTTTCATTGCTGGTGATGTCATTTTTTTGCACCGTTCGGTTTGGCCCCAGGTGAACTTCACTGCGACCAGCAGCGTGGTCAGCGGCTTCATTTGGTCCACCGAGATGAAAACCACCTCCACGACGACGGCGGCAGCGATCAACGGCAGCGATGCCTTTTACAAGCTGTTGGGCCTGGACGGGCACCAGCGTTTAATCAGCTTTCGAATGGTGATGAATGTTGATGATTGTAGTATCATATAATATATATATATATAATGCAATATTGATAGTTGGTTAGGGATGATCACATATTACCACAATCCATTAGTGCCAGGAATATCACTCACAGCAGAATTTGGAAGTACAAGAAGACAAAGAATGACCACATGGGTTTCTTATTCAAATATAGCGGGTACCCAGAAATAGCCAACATTTCATAGGCATGATGATGATGATGATGATCATCATCATCATCATCATCCTCATCCTCATCCTCATCCTCATCCTCATCCATCATTATCCAGTGGAAATCCATAATTTAGACAAGGATATCCCATCATTTACCCATATCAATTTTCCAGTCTCTATTGGAATTGGGATGTTTTCATCCCTCAAATTTCTCACATCAGCAGGACCCATCAGACGTCTACCTGGGCGAAGATGTTGAGGAGGAGATCAACGTCTCGCAGAGCATCGCGTGCCGTGGCACCGGAGACTGGATATTGATGGATATTTATAGGGTATTATTATTATAGTCAACTGTTTTGAACTATAGTAAGATATACACATATGTATATATTATAAATATATATATATATATTATAATATATATATAATATGATAATGATGGATACAAATGGACAATCCTATCCCCAATTGATGTTAAACACACCCCCATTCTATGGTTCCAAATATGCATAGATCTCCTACTAAACCATGGTTTCTTGCGGGGTGTTTAATATGAACGGGGGATGAGATTGCATGGTGAGCACAATTTGTTTTTCCCAGATTTTTTCAATCAAAGTGGGATCTTTGTACGCATGAGTCACCGGATGAATGAGAAGAGATGAAAAAGTGAATGGGAGCCCTGTTAAAGTCAGGGCCAGCACTTGGAAACCTGCGAGAGATCAAACACACCAAGTATCATATTATTGTTAGCGTTTATCAGGAATTGATATGAAAAGAGACGTGAAACCTTGCTATTGGGGTTGTATGCCGGGTTAATTTGAATCCAATGTGATTAAGTGTAATCCTTGTTCCCTTTCTGTTTCAACCGAAGTTCGCCGAGTTCGAGCTTGAAACACCGCAGGCTCTTCTACGATGCGTTCGATTTGCCAACTCCACCAATCCTACGCATTGCGTGGACTGGGTGCAATGCCACTGCTCGCGGAAGGAGTCCATGTGCCACATCCTTTCCAGACAGGTGAGGGACGAAGGGACGAAGGGACGAAGGGACGAAACGAAACGATCGAAGCGAGATCAAAAACAATCGGAAAAAACAAAGATGGGGATATATCATGATATACATATATCATATATGTATATACATGTATATATATATATACACATATACATATATATATATAATGCATAAACATAATCCCATGATGCCCCCATGATGTATTCTTAATGAGAACAGAATCAGATATCTTGCCCGAGGGCAGACAGTGTGCCCACAGTCTTGGAGATTTTTGTCAGGATGGATATCACTGGTTGCGTTGGTATCGAGTTCGAGCCCAACGAATCTTCGTTAGAATGTCCCATGGAAGCCTATGAGATCTATCGCAATAGCGAGCAACTTGGCCAGCCGCGTGATACAATGTAAATCCAGGGCTGGGAATCATAAAACGGAGACTGAATCATACTGAATCATGATGATTACAGTAGATTTGCTGTCGGAAACATCAAGAAACTCACACCGACATCGCCCACCTCGACACCTCGAGGCCACTGGTTACGCTGTCTTCGGAGCAAAACGGCCACTGGGACTGATTCCATAAGGCCAAGGCACCAAGTCACTTCGCAGTGCTATGGCCAGTTTCTGGCACTCAAGATGTATATTTTTAAAGGTATTCTACAAGTCAATATCACTCATATCACTCGCTCTCGCTTGCTCTCGCAATCATAGACAGCTTGGTTTCATGAGCCACGGTTGTGGTTGTTTTGGCTGCCTGTTTTGCTGGGCTACCAGGATGCCATCGCACTGCACAGGATTCGTGGATGGCTTCACAGATACAACTTTATCTGCCTCGAATCTGCTATTTCCTGGAGCTGTCTTCGGCTGCCACTGAGCTTGAAATAGTCACGGATCATGGATCATCATGGACCGTGGGTGGCTTCAAGACCTCAAGTCGCACGCTGAAATGATGGCAAACTGAGGCTATGCGACGCTTCCCAACACCAACTTGCACGACAAGCAATTCTACAAGATACGGAGCAAGAATTGCAAGGGCTGGGGCCCCTTTTCTTCTGAGACTCTGCAGAAATTGACCAAGTTCGAATGCTCTGAGGTGTTCTTTCCCTGTCTCTCTTTTTTTTTGTCAACATGTATGTCAACATCCGACATCATCCAACATCATCCAACATCATCCAACATCATCCAGCATCCAGCATCATCCAACATCATATTCAAGGTGAAAACGCCTGCATTGCATGTAATGATTGTTTCTTTGATTGTAATGCGCATTGGTAGCACCGAAAGGTACACTGGTAGGTACGAGTAGTAAATTTGGTGCAGTTTTTTTCATTGACAATGTGAGCTCTGTGAGCTCCACTTTGAGGAAGTCCCTGCTGCCGTGATCTCACCACCTGCTGCAGTCTGTGGTCTTTGGACGTTCGACTCCGCCTGGCAGTGCGCGGGGTGCTGTCACGGCCAAAGGAAGTGGAAAGTACTGGGTCCAGTTACTCTCAGACCATATCAGCTCACATCAGCTCCTTTTTTTTGGGGCATAGGGAGTCGATGTGGTTGCTGGCAGACGGCTTTTTCCCCTAAGATTCCTCGGGACTTGGAGATAGCATGAGCTGCATGCAGCTGTTCATCGTCAACATACTTTGCATTGGCACTTACAGCTCTCACTGGGGTCACCAAAGTAGAACACATTGATCATCACTATTACTACGAGATATTATCGTATATTATCATCATAATCCATTGTAATCCATCATCCATCATAATCCATCAGAATCAGCCACCAACTTTCAGTTCCATTGATGTTTCACTTGGGCGCAAAACCCTCAGCAGGTACACTTGCATCTCGCCGGGTCTCAGCATGACACCTCTGATGCTTGGACATGGAGTGTATTTTCCATGAATTTTACCCTCTGGTGACTCTGGTTATGACTAACATAGCCATGGTATAGATGGCCCATTTATAGATGGTTTACGGTTTACCTATTAAAAATGGGGATTTTCCATAGTTATGTTAGTTTACCAGAGGGTAGTTCTTTTACAGAAGAGGTGATAACATATTTTAGAGCCGACGCTCATCGTCGGCTCCGCCGGATTACTTGACCCTCTATTTCATGCAGGTCAGTGGCCATTTCATTGCAGGGTGGTCTTGACAGTTATTGAATTGCTTCTGTTTGAGAACCTGCTTCAGAAATATATTCTCTATGTCTTATCGAACATATTAATGGAATTGATGAAGTGGAACTTTGTTGGAAATTTGATGTTTTTTTGGAGCAAGTTGGGAAGGTTTGTTCCCAAAAGGTCCTGCGAAGGGATTTTCCCAAAGTTCAAAGAACTGCTGCTAAATTCAAACTTTCACTTTGTGTAAAAGCTCCTCCATGCAAAGACTTCTAAAGCTTCTGTGTGTAAAAGCTTCTCCGTGCAAAAGCTCCTCTGTGTAAACACTTCTCTGTGTGTAAAAGCTTCCGTGTGTAAAAAATCCCCTATGTAGAAAACTTCTGTGTAAAAGCCCTTATTTGTAAAGACCTCTCTGCGTAAAATCTGTGTGTGTAAAGACTTCTCTGTGTAAAGACTTTTCTGTGTAAAAGCCACTCTGTGCAAAGACTTCTCTGTGTAAAAGCGCTTGTGTGTACAAGCTTCTCTGTGTAGAACCTCGTGGGTGTAAGAGCTTTCGTGTGTAAATGCTTCTGTGTGTGACAAGTTCCTGTGCGTAAAAGCTCTTCTGTGTAAAAGCTTCTGTGTGTAAACGCGTCTGTGTGTAAAAGCTTTCAGTGTAAAGACTTCTCTGTGTAAAAGCTTCTGTGTGTAGAAGCTTCGGTGTGTAAACGCTTTTGTGTAAACCCGTCTGTGTGTTAACGTTGTTTGAAGAATGCGAACGACCACAACAACAACAACAACAACAACAACCACAACCACAACCACAACCATAAGCACAAGCACAACTGCCACAACAACCGCAACCACAAGCACAAGCACAAGCACAACTGCCACAACTGTCACAACTGCCACAACAACCGCAACCACAACCACAAGCACAAGCACAACTGCCACAACAACCGCAACCACAACCACAACCACAACGACAACCACAACCACAACCACAACCACAAGCACAACTGCCACAACAACCGCAACCACAACCACAACCACAAGCACAACTTCAAGCACAAGCACAACTGCCACAACAACCGCAACCACAACCACAAGCACAACTGCCACAACAACCGCAACCACAACCACAACCACAACCACAACCAGCACAAGCACAACTGCCACAACAACAAGCACAAGCACAAGCACAACTGCCACAACAACCGCAACCACAACCACAAGCACAACTGCCACAACGACAACAACAACCACAAGCACAACTGCCACAACAACCGCAACCACAAGCACAAGCACAACTGCCACAACAACCACAACACACACAACCATAAGCACAAGCACAACTGCCACAACAACCACAACCACAAGCACAACCATAAGCACAAGCACAACTGCCACAACAACCGCAACCACAACCACAAGCACAAGCACAACTGCCACAACAACCGCAACCACAACCACAACCATAAGCACAAGCACAACTGCAACCACAACCACAACCATAAGCACAAGCACAACTGCCACAACAACCGCACCACAACCACCAACTTCAAGCACCAGCACAACTGCCACAACCACCAAACCACAACCATAAGCACAAGCACAACTGCCACAACAACCGCAACCACACCACCACAACGCACCACAACCACAACGTCACAAGCACAAGCACAACTGCCACAACAACCGCAACCACAACCACAAGCACAAGCACAACTGCCACAACAACCGCAACCACAACCACAACCACAAGCACAACTGCCACCACAACCACAACCATAAGCACAAGCACAACTGCCACAACAACCGCAACCACAACCACAACTTCAAGCACAAGCACAACTGCCACAACAACCACAACCACAACCATAAGCACAAGCACAACTGCCACAACAACCGCAACCACAACCACAACTTCAAGCACAAGCACAACTGCCACAACAACCGCAACCACAAGCACAAGCACAACTGCCACAACAACCGCAACCACAAGCACAAGCACAACTGCCACAACAACCGCAACCACAACCACAAGCACAACTGCCACAACAACAACCACAAGCACAGGCACAACTGCCACAACAACAACCACAAGTACAGGCACAAGTGCCACAACAACAACCACAAGCACAGGCACAACTGCCACAACAGCCGCAACCACAACCACAACCACAAGCACAACCCCAACCATAGCCACAACAGTACAACCACAACAACAGCCGCAATCGGAACTACAACCACACCGTGGGTCTACGTGCAGCGGGGTCAAGTCAATCCATGCTTTTCCGCGCTGGAGCCGCGGAACACCCACCACAACCACAACCACCCCAGCAAGCGCAACCGCAACCAGAACCACCATCACAACCACAGCCATCACAACAAACACACCAACCATAACCACAACAGCCACTACAACCACAATGGGTGTTTCTGTGAAAAAGGTTCAAATCAATCACTGCCTTGACATGCTGGAGCAGCACAGGCCTTTGTGTCTTTTTTTGTTTTGTGTCGGAGATCCGCCCCTTACTTCAGTGTTCCATTGTTGCATGGCCCCAAGATGGGCCAACATAGCCCCTAAGATGGCTTCGAAGAGGTGCCAACATAGTGGGCCCCTGGCCGGCTGTCGTGCATAAGTCCTTAAATCAAGGGCTGCCGCCCTCTGCCGCCGACCCCAGCAATGATACAGTATATAGAATTGCATACACGTATACATATATATTTTGATATATTGCAGCACCCAGGCCTTCTCTAAGAAGACTTGCTTGAAAATCATCTTGCTTGGAATCTCTCGGCCAGCCCTACTCTTCCTTGGCGGTTCTTCTGCTTCTTGCTCTTGCCCCACTGTTCATAGGCGGTTCTTCTGCTTCCTACTCTTGCCTCTTGAGTTTTTGTTCTTGCTTCTTGCTCTTGCCGCTTGCTTTCCGCGGGCAGCCCTGTTCTTGCTCACGTCCTCTTCTCTCTTTCTTCTCTTCCTCTTGCGTCTTGGAAGGTGTTCTCTGATGCGCTCCCCCTCCTGCCGGCGGGGGTCGGCGGATTCTTCTTTTATTCTTGCTCCTTGTGTCGTGTCCCCTCGTCTCTGACGCACTCCCCCTGCCGTCGGCTGGGGTCGGCGGATTATGAACATTGTGATGAACACCATGATGAAAGTCATCGGGGTTTGTGAACCATGCTTATCTGCTTATCCATGTTTCACATGGTTTTCAGCTTCGTAGTCTGGTTGGTTCATGGCAGAATTTGGTGTTCTTTCACGGATCTCCAAAAGCAATCCCCAAGGACGTCGACATCGGTCCGCTTTGACTGGACGTTGCTACAGGTGCCCTTGGTGCATTGAGAATGGAACGGGCAAAGGGGAGAAATTGGCCAAATTTCACCTCATTTTAACTAACGTGTCTATATTCTGAATATATTTTTGACATTGTACATCATTGTACAGTTTTTTTTTTGTTTCTGTCAGTTGGGCCATGTTGGGTGCTTTTTGCATCACTTTTTTGCCCGTCGAGGAGGCGCCGTTCCAAGATGTTGGGTCCAACTTCTCCAGGGTGCAGGCAGCGCTTTGTCTCCGGCCAATTTGGGGCCCTAAGAATCGACATGGCATGGATGATATTTCAGCAATGTTGACATGGCATGTTGATTGATATGTCCGGTTTCAGGAATGTTGACAATGCTGACACGTGAAACATGTCAACGACAGTGTAAGATAGTAAAGGAAGTTCTAGAAATTTCAACAAGGGCGTGATACGACGTACGGAAGGACAAACGGAAACCGGTGGTAACCCATGATCGATCAGGATTGGCCTGATGTTACCTGGTGAGACACTTGTCCACCCACAAGTGCTCGGGTTGTTTGAGTGGACAAAAAAAACGGGTCAGCAGGTGGTAGGTTTGGATCATTTTGGATCACCCAGTCAGATCCACATCATTGCATTCATCACTTTTGGTGTTATATTTTTTCATCACTTCAGGAGCAAATTGGACAAGTTGGTGGAGGAGTTTATCTCACGCTGGCTGAGCAGCTCATAGGATCCTATGACCCCAGGATGCTTCTTGGGTATGAGTTGTCCCTCGACTGCAGCCCTGCGGATTTTTCAATGTCTTGCGCCGTTGAAAACCGATTTCAAAACAGGGTTACAATGGATGAAATAATGTAAAGGATAGACATACTGTATACGTAGTTATAAAAATATACATACGGAATTTCTACGTGAATATTATGTATACAACAGATATCATTTTTTATGTTCCAGGTCCTGGGCCCCTCCCATCCCCCCCTACCCATGGTCATGATATCCCCCAAACTTCTGGGAGGCGGTCGTATATGCAGTGTGCTGTGGGTTGGGGTGGGAGGGGGGCGCTGTATAGGGAACATATAATAGCGGATGCATCCAAACAAGTAGTATGTAGGTGCTATACGGCATTATGTGTGAATGTAGTGTGTAGGTGGCGTCGATATATTTGTAAGAGTATTTTATAGGTAGCAAATTGGCAGTGCATAGGTGCTAGATATGTAGAGTATATAGTCTTCAAGGTAGCAAGTCTAAACAAATAAATGACAAGATAGATTAGATTAGATTAGATTAGATCAGATCAGATTAGATTAGATAGACAGACAGATAGATAGATCGATAGATTGATAGATCGATAGATCGATAGATTGGTAGATCGATAGATTGATAGATCGATGGATCCATAGATAGGTAGATAGATCGATCGATAGATAGATGGATAGACCGATAGATAGATCGATAGATAGATCGATAGATCGATAGGTCGATAGATCGATAGATCGATAGGTGGATAGATCGATAGATCGATAGATTGATAGATCGATAGATCGATAGATTGATAGATCGATAGATCAAAAGATAGGTAGATGGATCGATCGACAGATAGATAGATCGATAGATAGATGGATAGATCGATAGATAGATGGTTAGTAGGATAGATCGATAGATAGATGGTTAGTAGGATAGATCGATAGATAGATGGATAGATCGATACGTCGATAGATCGATAGATCGATAGATCGATAGATCGATAGATCGGTAGATCGGTAGATCGGTAGATCGGTAGATAGATAGATAGATAGATAGATAGATCGATAGATGGATGGATGGATAGATGGATAGATGGAAAGATGGATAGATGGATAGATGGATAGATGGATAGATGGATAGATGGATAGATGGATAGATGGATAGATGGATAGATGGATAGATGGATAGATGGGTAGATGAATAGATGGATAGATGGATAGATGGATAAAGGATAGATGGATAGATGGATAGATGGATAGATGGATAGATAGATAGACAGACAGATAGATAGACAGACAGATAGATAGATAGATAGATGGATAGATAGATAGATAAATAGATGAATAGATAGATAGATAGATAGATAGATAGATAGATAGATAGATAGATAGATAGATTAGTAGATAGATAGATAGATAGATAGATAAATAGATAGATAGACAGATAGATAGATAGATAGATAGACAGATAGATAGATAGATAGATAGATAGATTAGTAGATAGATTAGATTAGATTAGATTAGATTAGATTAGATTAGATTAGATAGATAGATAGATAGATTGATAGATTGATAGATTGATAGATTGATAGATTGATAGATTGATAGATTGATAGATTGATAGATTGATAGGTAGATAGATAGATAGATAGATAGATGAATACACAGTCCATTTGTGTGAGACATCATCTCACCTCATCTTTTCCAACCTAAGCTCATCTCATCTCCTGTCGTGTCTTCCCAACTTCTTTCACGAACGTGCTGTGGAAACCATAGCTGTCACTTGGAAATTTAAAAAGCTATATATAAAGTTGCTGCGTCATATTTAGCTCAATACCTTGCATGCTCACGACCTCCCAGAATTGCTTCGCCGACAAGAGGACTGGAAGGAGCATCCGCACCTCTTGCTCGCGTACCAGCCGCCAGCTCCGCCGGCGCAGCGGCGCCGACTGGAGAACGGCGCTCGGGTCGGAATGTTGGAGGCGCGGGCCCAGAAGAAGATTTTGCATCCTGCCAACGCATATAAGCAATATATACATAGATCTCATCTCATCTCATGACTTCTCTCCTCTTCTGAGCTCTTCTCAGCTCTTTGCGGCTCATGTCAGTTCATCTCATGTTTTCTCATCTCCTCTCCCCTCTTCTCACATTTCTCAGGCGAAACCCTTGATGGGGGCCAGATCATAGCCCTAGTTTTCATCAGGGCATGCAAGTTGAGTTAACGCATCCCGACTACAGCCCAACACGTTTGCAAACTCAAGTCATCTATCCAGTTACTAAACAGGGTTGTCCCTCAAGTAGCCATGAGCTGCTGCTCCCCCGAAAGTCGGCGGCGCTGGCGCGCCCTTGACATTCCGGGGAGACTTCTGGCTCTCTTGCACTTCGCGCTGGGGGTACTCTACGGGCTATTCTGCCATCGCCTCAGGGTGTTTGTTCATTGATGAATTCTTGCCCGAGTTCAGGGAAGCAGGAGTGTTGATTTTCAGGGAATGTATTTGATATTGGGGGGATGGATAAACCAGGATTTACCTAGAAACTGTGCGACACAATGTGCAAATTTTCTGACTCAAGTCTGACTCAAACATCGAAAATGATGAGTTAACCTATTTAAGCCTTAAAATGTGTGATTTAACTTGATATTTCACCATGAAACATGGGGAGGTAATTCAATCATCAGCAGTTGGTTTATTCAATCATCAACAAGTGGTGAAATCCAAACATGCCCCGCTGCTGCTCCCCGGGGTGTCGAGCCCTCGACCTGCCGGGGAAAGTTCTCCAACCATTTTATTGGTTGGCGGGCTTCCTGTATGGGCTGTGCGGCCATCGCCTCAGGGTGTTTGTTCATTGATGAATTTGTGCCCGAGTTCAGGGAAGCAGGAGTGTTGATTTTCAGGGAATGTATTTGATATTGGGGGGATGGATAAACCAGGATTTACCTAGAAACTGCGCGACAGAATGTGCAAATTTTCTGACTCAAGTCTGACTCAAGCATCGAAAATGATGAGTTAACCTATTTAAGCCTTAAAATGTGTGATTTAACTTGATATTTCACCATGAAACATGGGGAGGTAATTCAATCATCAACAGTTGGTTTATTCAATCATCAACAAGTGGTGAAATCCAAACATGCCCCGCTGCTGCTCCCCGGGGTGTCGAGCCCTCGACCTGCCGGGGAAAGTTCTCCAACCATTTTATTGGTTGGCGGGCTTCCTGTATGGGCTGTGCGGCCATCGCCTCAGGGTGTTTGTTCATTGATGAATTTGTGCCCGAGTTCAGGGAAGCAGGAGTGTTGATTTTCAGGGAATGTATTTGATATTGGGGGGATGGATAAACCAGGATTTACCTAGAAACTGCGCGACAGAATGTGCAAATTTTCTGACTCAAGTCTGACTCAAGCATCGAAAATGATGAGTTAACCTATTTAAGCCTTAAAATGTGTGATTTAACTTGATATTTCACCATGAAACATGGGGAGGTAATTCAATCATCAACAGTTGGTTTATTCAATCATCAACAAGTGGTGAAATCCAAACATGCCCCGCTGCTGCTCCCCGGAGTGTCGAGCCCTCGACCTGCCGGGGAAAGTTCTCCAACCATTTTATTGGTTGGCGGGCTTCCTGTATGGGCTGTGCGGCCATCGCCTCAGGGTGTTTGTTCATTGATGAATTTGTGCCCGAGTTCAGGGAAGCAGGAGTGTTGATGAATTTGTGCTGAAGACGCCGAAGACGCCGAAGACGCTGCAGACGCCGAAGAGGGTTCCCGAGAAGGTTTGGGAGGCTTTGTGGAGTGTAGAGTGTAGAGTGTAAAGTGTAGTGTAAAGTGTAGAATGTGGAGTGTGGAGTGTAAAGTGTCGAGTGTGGAGTGTGGAGTGTACAGTGTAGAGCGTGGAGTGTGAAGTGTGGAGTGTAAAGTGTCAAGGGGGGAGTGTCGCGCGTAGAGTGTGGAGTGTAAAGTGTGGAGTGTGGCGTGTGAAGTGTGGAGTGTAAAGTGTGGAGTGTAAAGTGTAGAGTGTGGAGCGAGGAATGTAAAGTGTAAGGTGTGGAGTGTAAAGTGTGAAATGTGAAGTGTAAAGTGTGGAGTGTCAAGTGTAGAGTGTCGAGTGTGGAGGGTAAAGTGTGAAGTGTGTAGTGTGGAGTGTACAGAGTAGATTGTAGAGTGTGGAGTGTGAAGTGTGAAGTGCAAAGTGTAAAGTGTTAAGCGTGAAAATGAAGTGTACAGTGTGGAGTGTGGCGTGTGAAGTGTGGAGTGTGGAGTGTAGAGTGTGGAGTGTGAAGTGTAGAGTGTGGAGTAAAAAGTGCAGAGTGTAAAGTGAGTGTGAAGTGTAAAGTGTCGAGTGTGGAGTGCAGAGTGTGGAGTGTGAAGTGTGGAGTGTGACGTGTAAAGTGTGGAGTGTAAACTGTACAGTGTGGAGTGAGGAGTGTAAAGTGTAAAGTGTGGAGTGTGGAGTGTGAAGTGTGGAGTGTAAAGTGTGGAGTGTAAAGTGTGGAGTGTGGAGTGAGGAATGTAAAGTGTAAAGTGTGGAGTGTAAAGTGTAAAGTGTAGAGTGTGGTGTGTTGAGTGTTAAGTGTAGAGTGTGGAGTGTGGAGTGTGAAGTGTGGAGTGAAGAATGTAGAGTGTAAAGTGTGGAGTGCAAAGTGTGGAGTGTGGAGTGTGAAGTGTGGAGTGTGGAGTGTGGGGCGGGGAGCGTGGAGTGTGGGGTGTGGAGCAGGCAATGCGACACGTTTGAAGTGCTGCGCCTGCCACGCAGAATGACAATAGAGGTCTCCAAAATGCCGCGCCTGCGACAAAAACTGCAACTCATCTTGTGAAAACGACGCAAAAGTATTGTGCCTGCCACAAAAAAAACGACTTTCGACACGTTATCAAACAGGTTGGAATGTCACAAAGAGCCGCGCCTGTGGGTGGTCAGTGGCATCCTCCTGGCCCCTGCCAAATGGGTGCTTGGGGCCATGTACCACTGCCAGCGCCTCAATGTGAGATGTCAAAAACCTAGAGTAAGATTTCCACACTTTACACTCCACACTCTACACTTTGCACTCCACACTCCACACTCCACACTCCACACTTTACACTCCACACCCTTTACGCTTCACACACACACACACACACACACCGCACTTTACATTCCACACTTTACACTCCACACTACACTGCACACTTCACACTTTACACTTTACACTTTACACTTCGCACTCCACACTCCACACTTTACACTCCACTCTTCACACTCTACACTTTACACTCCGCACTCAACACTCCACACTTTTCATTTTATTTTACACTCTACACTCTACACTTTACACTCCACACTGCACACACTACACTTTACACTCCGCACTGTACACTCCACACTCTACACTCCACACTCCACACCCCACACTCTACACTTCGCACTCCACACTCAACACTTTACACTTCACACTTCACACTCCACACTCTACACTCTAAACTCCACACTCCACACTTTATACACCACACTCTGCACTTTACACTCCACACTTTGCACTTTACACTCTACGCTCCACACTCCACACGTTACACTTTAGACTCCACACTTTACGCTCCATACTTTACACTTTACGCTCCACAATTTACACTCCATACTTTGCACTCCAGACTCTACACTCCACACTCCACACTTAGCACGCCACCTCCTGCCATATTCCACAGTCTGCGGTGCACTGGTATGGTAACAGGGGAAAATGTACAAGACTGTTCAAATTAATCGTGTCACAAAGGTGTTCTGCGTGACTGCATATCCATGTGTTTCGATATCTGTACCATGACAATCGTGTGAGCATTCGGGTTCGTGGGCTGCATCTTGTTTTCCTGCAGAATCTGAGCATTCAGGCACAACTGCTGCAGCTCTGCGCGGGTGAGGCTGCAACCAAAGCATCCCCAGGAGAGACACGACGAGACATACTCTCGTTGTGTTGATCCAAGGCCAGAGGAATGGCACCTGGAGCCAGGCTTGGAGCAGAGGCTCATGAGTCCATAGCAACACTTGATTCCAGCTGCGTTTGTTTTATAGATCAATGTCCAGGTTCGGATGTTTATTTTGAACGGCCCGAGCGAGGACAGACTTCGCAACACTCATGCGATGTCTTGCGATGTCCAAAGTGCGGAACATTTCTTTGCTAAGCTGAGAGATTTCGCTTGAGTTGGTTTGTGATTTTTTGACATGAATTAGTTCTGCTGAGTCAGGGCATTGAAGGCAACATGTGATGATGAAATGCCGATTCCAGCTCCAATCCAGGCTGCAGCTTTCATTGGCTGGCTGCTGGGCATGGGGCAAGACTCTGATCAGAGCCAGGTTCGTCGGAACCTTCGCACGATGATGAGCCAGGACAGACGTCCAAATTGCGGAACATGTCTTTGCTAAGCTGAGAGATTTTGCTTTGGAGCGGAGGTTCGAAATATGATTTGGACGCTCCAGAGCAAGGACAGACTTCGCTCAGTGACCTTGCATTTGTCATACGGTTTGCAGTCAATGATGTGGTCAGGTGGGTTCTAGAAATTTTGATTGTATGACTTTTCGGGATTTGCGGGAGTTTTAATTACTTGATTACCTGGTACATAAGTTGGCCATGTAACTATTTTGTGTACAATCATTCCAAAACTGGCGTGGGGCCTGAGATCGATCTGCAAGCTTGAAGGGTGATTTGAAAATTCCATATTATTCAATCATTTGGGCGATCCTAGTTTTTATTTCGTTTTGAAAATTCATCCGAAAAAAAGGGGGCAAAACTTGAGCGTTTCGCATGATTCCAGCTGGAATACGATATCGTCGACAACGGTTCCGCAGCCGCAACCTAGCCCAAAACCGAAACCGCGACCTAGCCCTCCTAGCCCTCAAGCATGCCTGGCCCCTCTCAGATGGAGTGCATGCGCCTGAAGGTGGTCCTGCGAAGCGATGCGGAGATCCGGGCAGCACTCAGAAACAAAGGGTTCAGCGCTGCGCGAACTGCGCAGCTGCTGACTGAGCAAAACTCATCAAGTTCCAGCTTCTGTTAGGTTTGAATAGCATCTTAGAACAGATACCACCCTCGAAGCACTGGATCTGTTCATTCTGGGGCGGTCTTCCGGCCAGAGGAGCAGGCGGGGGTCCACGGGCTGGAGCTCGTGGCTGCTTGCGCGGCCCCGCACCGCGGCCTGATGCAGCCGTTGCTGGCGGCGCTGAAGGACAGACAGTGAAGTGGGGAGACAGACTGAGGCAGACAGGGAGACAGGTAGCCAGATACCCAGGTAGATAGATAGAAAGATAGAGGGCCAGGAAGCCAAAAAGACCGACAGACAGATTCAAGCAGTAACCGCGCGAGGAGGGGGCGGAAGTTTCCAAGCAGCACGTCGGAGCTTATAGGGTGTTAAAGAAAATGAGACCGCAAACGCAAGGTGCGCCCCAGGTGTCATGTTTGTGGACTTGCAAGCAAACGAGCAACCGCAAGAAAGCAGCCAATCATGAAAGGACATGAGTTCGGAACATAAAGAATGCCCCATATGGGGGGGTGTTTAATATTAAGATAGGATCATTGGTATTTCACAATGAAGAAAAAGATGTAGCAGGGATAGATTAGATTAGATTTGGTTTGATTTGATTTGATTCGATGGATAGACTAGACATGCAGGATATGGTTCAGGCCCAAATTGATTTAAGGTTTCGACATGTTTCGACTGCTGATTGCTGCTGGTTTTTTTCTGCCTTCAAATCAGAAATCGTATTGAATATGTTTTGTAACTACCATATCTGTGTATAGTTTATACTTATTATCAGTCTATCGTATCCGTCTATCTTATTTTCCTGCCTATCTGTCAAATCTACCTGTTCTTGCCACGTCCGTGCTTATCCAATGCTCCCTTCCCGTTCATCCATTTTTCGATATACAGACGTATTACTATTATATCTCTATTAAACCGTTCTTTCTGCATATAAATATAAATAAATAAATAAATAAATATATATATATATATATGTGTTTTTATATATATATATATCTATAAATACATGTATATATGCATACGGTTTTTCAGCATATCATCAAAACAAATATTGCAACCCCAAAAAAAGTTTAGTTTAAGATAATTTGAGATTTAACCAGGGAAATTTTGATATTTTTGAAAACTTGTCATCATGATCCCTGTTTTCGTGAGTTTCTACTAGTTACTACAACCCAACATGATTGAGTAGCTTGATGAACTTTTAGGATTTTGTCGATGGCGAAACCTTTGGGCATAGCGGGGGCCCACGGGACCAGGAACATATATATATATATATACATACATATGTATTGATATATATATATATACATATGTATATACATACATATATGTATTTATATATATAAATACATATGTATATATATAAATATAAATATAAATATAAATAAATAAATAAATATATATATATATATATACATATGCATACATACATTGTATTTATACATGTATGTACTTATACACGCATAGCCCTATGTGTGCAAAACTTTGCATACATAGAAAAGGAAAAATGAATTTCGAGAACCTTGCTTCGCCACAATGAGGGGAACTCAGGTTTTTGGATGATGGACTGGGTGGACCTTTCGGCTTGGTATTTGATGGTAAGTCCAGGTGGGACTTGGGCTGGCAGAACACGCCATTTAGACAGCGTAAGGACAGCATCGCTAGCGACCAGTCTCAAAAAATTGGAAAATTAAGATAGGAAATGAGGTAAATTCAGATGGTATGGATTTCTCATGGAACCTTTCTGCGCTCCTAAGCATGTTTCAACGTGACGTATTAGTTTGGGCAACATGAAAAATTCTTAGAACCAGAGGCAACACTGAAACATGTCAGCCTGAACACACCTGACCCAGGTCCTGCAGTTTTTCTACGATTTGGATTTTCTGATAAGTTTCTCTGAGTCAACAGCTAAGAAAAAGTGGATTCCATGAATTCCATTCCAGGCGCTGGACCAAGACGGCGACGATCACTCGTTTGACGACGGGCCGTGACTATCGCGCATTTGTGCGCGCTGTGAGTGTGGCGGGCAATGGTCACTTGCTTCAATTTGAAGAGGGACGTGTCCATTTACTCATTACCGTGATTTTTTCTTGTTCTGGAACACTATGTAAAATTGTACCTGAAAAAATCTCAGAGTCTTAGAGTTTCTCACCTTTTTATGCCTTTGTGACGGACCAAACGGACTTCTGAAAGTCCATATCCAGGTGATGCTAGCAACGTCCTTTACTTCAAGATGGCCACACCGTTGCCACCACCGGAAGCTCAGCTTTGGCCGCGACCGCTTTGGTCACGGATTTCCCATGAGAGGAACTCTGTATACAAGGTATGCAATAGGTATGCAATAGGTATGCAATAGGTATGCAATAGGTATGCAATAGGTATGCAATAGGTATGCAATAGGTATGCAATAGGTATGCAATAGGTATCCTATGTATGTTCTTTTTGACGAATGGTCGGCACTGAATGTACGAAGTTTGAGTTCAAGCAATCATTGCATGGCAATACAATGTTCCGAAATTGGTAATCTTATGTAATCTTTATATCTTGTATCTTGACTCTTTACATCTCTTTACGCGCGTGTCAGGAAATCATCTCAGTGACCACTGCGTCCTTGAAATCAGCACTGCTCACCTGGGACATTGGACAGGCTACTGTGGATGAGTTGGCGAGACTTGGCGTCAACAATTATGTCACCACCTACATATGGCAGTGGGTCAAAACCCTGGTACCCCTGGTGAACATCAAAATAGCTGGTAAATGGATGTTCATCCCTCTAAAAATGGTATTAATAGGTATTGATTCATAGCCATATCAACATTATCAAACCATGCAAGTTATTCCCTTCATACAAGAGCTTATGCTGCATTTTTCGAGTAAATGCATCTGTTTCGGTGTGTATTTTTTCACCGAATGTAGAGTTTAGCATATGTATATAGAATGCTAAATACTAGTGACATTACTGATATTGTTTTCTTTGTGCTCTGAGCAGTTCTGGGGATCTCCTTTGTAGAACCTTCACAATTCAAGGTCCCGTGGCACACTGACAATTGACAAACGAAGCTCCAGAGTTCAAGTGTTTCACTTTAGGATTACTCACTACGTCATCGAGCTTGCCACGGAACCGTTCGATGCTTGGCCGCTTGTCTTCAACCTTGGCTTGTCCCGAGACATGACACGCAAAATGCGGTGCGAGCAAGCCTAGGTTTGCTGTGCCAAACTCTCCGGCCGATAACACCCAGTACAGAGTCTTGGCTCATCTTGGCTCATCTTGGCTCATCTTGGCTGATCCGCTAAGTACGGCGCTGCCGACTGCACACAAGCCAGGAAAGGAGAAAGAGGCTAAGATGCTAAGGACACCGCATCATAAAAAGGCTAGACTAAACATGTTTAAAATAATCTGAGAAATGGGCTTCAAGAAGATGAGGAAAGAATGCAGTTCTGACGCCAATTTCAAGTTCGCAGATCGGTTTTTTTCGAGAACTTTCGACTCATATTTGGCTCTCGCAACAGTGGGGTTTCCCCTGTCTCCGAGGCCTTCTGGTAACGCAGCTGGAGCCGGATTTCAAATACGCCATCCGAGTGACCTCTGCCAGCGTCAACGGTGTGGGCGATCCTTCAGAGCCCTACTACTTTTGGGCGGGCGTCCTCCCAACGGAGCCAGAAACGTCGTGCGTTTAGCGCGTTGAGCGCAACAAAACATGACATGGAAATACATGGAAATACATGGAAATATGTTGCAATACCATGAAATACATGGAAATACCGGTACCATGATAGAATGATGATGAATGAAATAGATATGATAGCTCTATGGCCATGCTTGCGAAAGAAGCCGGATAGTAAGGCAAATTGCACTACAGCAGAAGATCGAGTCTGTGTTCCAGATTTGCGACGTGTGTGAACTTTTTTTTTTTCCGCAGGAGGGAGCCCGTTTGGTGCAGAGAGTGCAATCAGACGAAGGCATCATTACAATAAGCTGGCAGCCACTTGACGTAGCTTAACGAAGACCTGACCGGACACTCCATATCAGACATATCACTCAATGCAGCATCAGGAGACAGAGACGGAAGTATGGAAAAATGAAGAGGTTCAGAGGTTCAGTGAGAGATTTCTGTTGAGTATTCACCGTATTCACCGATAGCAGCCCAGCATCAGGACACAGGACAGCAGGACGCTTCCAGCCGAGGTTTCCTTCTGGTGACATGCTGGGAACAGGAACACGGATGGAAGCCGTCACATCTGACTGGGGTGTAAAAGGCTATATGCAACTCGGATGAAGTGACTGAGCAGATCTGAGCAGTGGCTGCTAAAGCCCTGTTGATGATTCGTCATGGGGCTTATACTATCCCATATATATTGGGGATGATCATGATTCCATTAGGGGAACCCACAACTTAACCAACCAATACATATATATATAATTCCAAATGGTAAAGGTGCACAGACTAGTATATATATAATATAATGCCCCCAGGCATCCGCCAAATCATATTCACACAGTCTGTTTCATTGGCAAGTGGCACCGAGTAGCATAACCATAGCATGTATAACCAATCACTCTCCAGAATGCTGATGGTTATTGCAGCCAGCAAACGCACAGGGTGCTGCATTTGACGGGGTTACCAGGCTACCACTGTAAAACCAAAGTCTTCAAAGCAACGAAAACTGTTCACATCTTTCACATTTTTCCACATTTTTCCAACATTTTCCACATGTTTTCACATCTTGTGCGCAAGAGTGTCGGACCTCGGACCTCGGAGTCGGAGTCGGATCCAAGGTGGGACCCAAAGGAGCAGCCGAGTTTGGTCTACGACGGTTTTGGAAATCCAACGCAGGTGCCAGTGCCCAGGGTCTCGAGTGTCTCGCTCCATAAGCAACTTAAGCAACTTGAAGGAACGTGCACAAGGAAAGATCCAAGGATCAAGGATTCAACGCATAAAGAGATGGGCAAAGCCAGGTAAAGAACGCAAAGAACTGTAGTTTTCAAATGTTTTCGAGCGGTGCGAACTGCGGAAGGGCATTGGCGAAAACCGACAAATGAGAGGAACGCCCTTGAACTGTGGGCGTTGAAGGGCGTTCCTCTCATTTGTCTTCTGTTTTCTGACAGGTGGAGTTTACTGTGGCCAACGCCACGTGTGGTGGAAACTACCTCGTCGCATTGCATCTCGGCTGATGTTTACGCCTCATAGAGGTGTCCTAAATGGCATAGACGTCGGCATGCATGCAGCAAAGTGAACGCTAGTGACTAGCCTGCTCTTTGTTATGGTGTCGGTAAAAGTTCTTTCCACTGGTGTCGTGTCATCCATCCTGTGGTCGACACACCCACCCAAATTTGTTGTCGGAGCTCGGCGAATGGGAATCCCTGAGATGTCTTTTGATTCAATACGTCACGAAAGCTAGCTTCTGCTAGCTGAAGTCCCTCTTGCTTTAGCAATGTATAGGGGGGCTGGAATCTCGAATCGCATGAAACATCATAGTTAACAAAGCGCGTAAAATGAAGCGCAGCGCGTTTGGCCAAATTTTGGCTACGTCGGGCGCAAAAACGCGCAAAACAGTCTTCCCCATACAAGTAAACGATATGCGCTATTACCTTTCACCTGGCCACCCTTGCCCTCACTATATCCCCGCAACTGTCTCCACCTACCCGCAACATATGTTTCTTTGTTTTGACATGTGCCCACTTGAAATTTCCTCAGCTTAAATCCACAAATCAAACGGTCAACTTCTCTCAATGCATATTCCTTGGTGCATTTACTCATGTCACACTTACTGTCATGTCTTGTTGATCTCTTTCACTTTGTCACCGTTCTTCTCTTCCCGACTTCCAATTTTCTCATGCATCCAAGCCCACATCACAGGCATTTTCTAGCAGCCAACCATGTCCATAAATTTTGACTGACGAAGTCATGTTCCAGCCTTTATCCTTATAATCTTAAACAATTGCGCTTTTTTGCTTCCAATTGTTGAGTTGAAATCCTTTGACTTTGCTTCCATTTTGTTGTATATACTGTTCCAATTACTAAAAAAGTGTAGTTCGGGTGCTACCTTTTTTTTAAAGTATCTCACTCACAGAAAAACAATAATCTTCTCATATCTTCTCCACGCTTCTCTCAAAAATCACAACCATCAACCCCAGGGGCTTGGCAAGAAAAAACGGACACCGGAGCTGTTTTTTCTGTAATGAAATTAAAGAAGCAAATCTATTGACCCAGGCTCTGCAAATGGTTTGAAACTTACATTTCAATCACTTTTAGCCTGTCTTGATGCATTTATGTTTGTCTATGTCTTTTGCATTTTTTTCTTTAAAGAAATCACACTTATTTCTGGCGCAGGGCACTTTTGTTTGTCGACTGTCGGGGTATGATCCAAAAAGGATCAGATTCGCCTCGGAGACCACCGGAACCAGCGTATAACCATTGTAAGAACCCCAGGTATGAACACACTGTTTGAAGAATTCCTTCACTTTCGTTTGAAATTGGCGGAAACATTCATCAAATAGCATAAGTTTTTGTAATCCAAATCCTCAAAGCATTCTATGGAGAAATAAAATGAACCTTCAACAGAAAGGTGTTGGGGAGGAAATCTATTTCAAAGTTGGTCTGAATGCATTTCATTTGCGGTCAAGCCTGGCTTAATTTTGGAGTGGGAGATAGGATAAGCAAGCTGGAGAATTTAACGAAGCAACATGGGCATTCTCTAGCTTCGCTGAACACTGAAACACAGAAACAAACGCAAAATTACACGGACGATATGGCAAAGAGGTAAAAATAGAGATGTCAAGAGTCAAGAGTGTAGAGAAGTGAAGAGCGTAGAGATGTAAAGACTGTAGAGATGGCTAGAGGGTAGCGGTAAAAAGAGATGTGAAGAGAGCAGGGATGTAAAGAGAGTAGAGATGTGAAGACAGTAGAGATGTCAAGACAGTAGAGAGGTGAAGACGGTAGAGATATGATGAAGAGTGGATAGTTGAAGAGCGGCGGGAAGTGAAGAAAGTAGGGAACTGAAGACAGGGAAATGAAATTGTCAGGAGAGCAGAGCGTGTCAGGTTCCAGGGTCCCGAGCTGTCAACAAGAAAGAGGCTGTCAAGATTCAGGGATGACAAGTGCAAACCGGATAGAGAGAAAGTGCCATCATCAGAAGAGGAAGTTGAGAGAAATGTCAGGGAGAAAAAGATGTCCAGACAAACAGCAGGCAACCGGAAGATCTGTCAAATTTCATGAATGTCAGGAGCAAGCCGGATCAAGGGACAGTGGCAGCATCAGACAAGGATGTCGAGAGCAAGACATGTCAAGGACAGAGACTTCCAAGAGATCACGGAGTCTACAGCTGCGCCAGCCAGGCGGTCAGGCGTCGTTCCTTTAGGCTCTCCCTTTTCTTTATAGGTTTCCCTCTCTCGAAACTTCCGTCACCCGGCTTGCCCGGGCTCTACGTGTAAATTTTAATATTTTAATATTAATATTGGCAATCACTAAACACACCACATTTAAGAAAAGGAAACGCATGTTTTGAAACATATTAACCGAAGGAAGTTTAGAAGTCAAACTTCCGACAATATGGACAGATGGAAAAGCAGAGGTGGGAAGAGCCTGAGAAGAGAAGAGAAGAAGAGAGAAGATCAGAGAAGAGAAAGAGTCAGAAGAAAGAAAATGCAGGTGCGAAAAAAGGTAGAAAAGTCGCGATGCACTGTGTTTTACACAGCCATAGCATTGAATGAAGCCTCAGATGCCAGATGCGCACCTCCCACTTCCGACATTTCGGATATATGGGGCATCCGGATTTTTTTTTAGAGAGTTTGGCCGCCCATGCTGACAAGTCCAGCTGCAACCAGCTCCTTTCCCTTTGTCAGCTAGGTCTCTGGAAAGCCATGTCCATGTGTGAGCAAGTTGTGTGCGACAAAGCTGTGTGTGAGCAAGTTGTGTGTGATGGCAAAGTTGTGTGGTTGTGTGTGAGCAAGTTGTTTGTGACAAAGTTGTGTGTGACGATTGTATGTGACAAAGTTGTGTGTGAAAGATGGTGTGACAGTGTGGTGTGCGACAAAGTTGTGTGTGAGCAAGTTGTGTGTGAGTGGCAAAGTTGTGTGGTTGTGTGTGAACAAGTTGTTTGTGACAAAGTTGTGTGTGACGATTGTATGTGACAAAGTTGTGTGTGAAAGATGGTGTGACAGTGTGGTGTGCGACAAAGTTGTGTGTGAGCAAGTTGTGTGTGAGTGGCAAAGTTGTGTGGTTGTGTGTGAGCAAGTTGTGTGTGACAATTGTATGTTCTAAGTTGTGTGTGAAAGAGAGAGGAGGCGGCGGCCGAGGAGCGGGATACAGAATCAAAAACAAGAACCCCACACAAAGATGTGGGGAACATATTTCAATATTGTTGATATTAATCTTAAGATTCAATTTCTGAAAAGAAAAAATAATATTTTTATTGTTGTATTAGCAATATTCAAAGCATTAAACTGTTAAATTTCGGAGAGGGGAAAACTCAATATTTTGCAGTATATAGAAAAATGTTAAAGATGATTTAATTTCGGACAGGGAAAATGGACAGGTAAAACTATTATATTATTTTTTGTTTATTTTAATGTTATCATTAAAATATTGAAAGTACTACTTTTTGAAGGGGAAACTTATATTTTACCGGGGAACGTGCGTTCGACACATTTTACATGTTGTTCCCTCATGCCCCTTCCCCCCCAGCTGGCTGGTTCACCGGCTGTGGCTCAATCGCCCGGGGACACCATTGGCATGGCGCCACGGGCAGCAAATTCGGCAGCATCCGCATCCTCAGCATCATGGTTTTTCATGCAAAATTTTCTGCCAAACTAGTTTTCGATAGTTTTCGTCCTTTACCCCTGGGCCTCAAATTTCGATACCTAAAACCCTTGTTGCATCTTGTTACCCAAAAACGTTTGGTACCCCTTAAGAAACTCGCTTGGTAGCAGTTATTCCTGTCGTGGTTCAAGTCAGGTCGCTGGTTACCATGATTGGTGAAGGCCCGATGTCAACACCACTGGCTGTGACGAATGCGAGGCGGGTGGTTTTTACAGATGTCAGATGGTGCTCTTGACTGGCCAAGTTCCCCAATTCATATTAGTTGCAGCCCCATTTTATGGTCCCAAAAATGTATGGGTATGGGTCAATACCTCTAGATACATTTTTAGTGGGATGAACATCCATTTACCAGCTATTTTGGGGTTCACTAGGTACCAGGGTTTTGACCCATCCCCATATAAAGATACGACTAACCTATGATTTTTGGGGTGGTCACGGGTGGTATTTAATAGGACCGGTGGATGGGATGGCTCGGAGCTCCCAGGTTGCCTGGAGTGCCCCGGAATGTCATCGTCACGAACACCACCACCAGCAGCATATCGCTGGCATGGGAAGAGCCAGAAGACACAGGCACAGAAGACACAGAAGACTCACAGGAACTTCAAGATTTACAGGGTTTGTAGGGGATTTAAATATTGGATTTAAATATGGGATGTACTGAAAAAAATTCACAGAAGACTTACAGGATGCGAATTTTGGCAGAGTCTTCTGCCCATTGCAGCGATCTTCATTGTAAAATTGTTCCATTCCATCTGTTTGTTCGAGTTGACACTGGACAGATTTTCAAATCACTTTTAGATCTTCAAAGTTGTGGTGATTCCCTTTTGAACTGGTGGGAAGCTGATCCAAAATTTTGAGAGCCACAGGCTGTGTGCCTATCTACCAGTATCGCATCCTCAGATATTTCGGAGATCAAGGTGGGCTGAAGCTTCAAAAGTGGAGATCTTGGAGACTTGGGGACCGACTTGGGGACCGTAGAAAAATCGTAGAACCGGCGTTTGTGTGTGTGACTTTCTTGCGGCCTATTTCGAAAAGGATTTTTTGCAGTATTCCAATGCATCGCAGGTTTCAAGATTGTTGGCTATGCAGCCGCTGCCAGCGGAGTCTTGCAGATACCTGCTGTGATTCGGCCTAAACTTTCAACTTTCAACACACGGCCGCATTGCTGATGCTCAATGTCCAAAGAATTGCGGGCCAAAACCTTTTATTTTCGAAGTCTACCCTCTGGTTATTTAACATAGCCATGGTATAGATGGCCCATTTATAGATGGTTTATGATGGTTTACCTATTAAAAATGGTGAGTTTCCATGGCTATGTTAACTAACCAGAGGGTACCTTGGAATGTGCAAATATGTGCACGGTTGAAATTTCCTGCCCAAGGCACGTGAATATATTGACGATGGGCGTTGTTTCATCGAGCCACCTACAATTGACGACGGATCCTGCGACTGTCCGCCTTCCTGCTTTACAACAGGCCGCCATGTTTGCTTTTGGGACATAAACTTTTAAACAGTAAACATCAGTAAACTATGAGCATTCAAGAAAGAGCTTTGGGCCTCTGCACAAATCTGAATGAGAAGACAGATTGAAATTGTGGCACATCCAATCATCCTGGCCCGAAGTCTCTGATTGTTACGGCTGATTTTTCGTGGCCTGAGACTGCGACAGTTCTTTCCACGAATGTGCTTTTGGTTTTCGTGTTCTGTGGTGTGCTTCATTTCACAACCGACAAGTTCGGAAATAGCCTTATATAACCTTTATTATGACCATATGGTGACCATATGTCGCCTTTCCTGTTTGCAAGGATAGCTTTAGGTAGCCCAGTGGCAGCCCATCGCTTCTCCCGCCTTTCTGCAGGCAACCTCTACCGCTTTCAGGTTCAGGCTTGTGTGCCTTGGCAGGGATGCTCACAAGATGTGCTCTATGCAGATGCTCCTAGCCAAGGTTGAAGACATGCTAGAATGATCTAGAATGGAACTAATATATATATATATTAATCTGACAGTAATTAATCAAGAGATATCAAGGGCAAGTGGAACCGAACATCCGAGTTTTAATGTTTGTCTCATCAATCCGCAGCTCACAGCTTGACCAAGGTCCTCGGAGCCTACGGTGACAATACATTGGAGTTGACTGAGGCACTAAAATCCCAGATTTCAAGATGCAATTTTTGTTGCTCTAGATTACACATCAGTCCACCTACGTGAAACACTTGCCATACTTGAATATATATATAGACTAGTATATATATATATATGGTCCCGGCCGGCGGCCGGCAACCCCCCCCAATGGTATCCCCCCCCAGGAACCATCCCCATACATACATACATTACATTACATTACATTACATTACATTACATTACATTGAGGTTGCAAAACGCGCGCTATTTGAATTTCAAAAAAGCAGCCACTTGCAGCCACTTGCAGCCACTCGAGTGGCCGCAAGTGGCCGCAAGTGGCCGCTAGGGCCTGGCAGCCACTTGCAGCCACTCGCAGCCACTCGCAGCCACTCGCAGCCACTCGCAGCCACTCGAGTGGCCGCAAGTGGCCGCAAGTGGCCGCTGGGGGTCTCTAGAACAAGTGCTGGCAGCCACTTGCAGCCACTCGCAGCCACTCGCAGCCACTCGCAGACGCTTGCAGCCACTTGCAGCCACTTGCAGCCACTCGAGTGGCCGCAAGTGGCCGCAAGTGGCCGCTAGGGGGCCGCAAGTGGCCGCTAGGAGTCTCTAGAACAACTGCATGGCAGCCACTTGCAGCCACTCGAGTGGCCGCAAGTGGCCGCAAGTGGCCGCTAGGAGTCTCTAGAACAACTGCATGGCAGCCACTTGCAGCCACTTGCAGCCACTCGAGTGGCCGCAAGTGGCCGCGAGTGGCTGCGAGTGGCCGCAGGCAGCTGTCGGAGCAAGTGGCTGCAAGTGTCCGCAAGTGGCTGCTTGGATTGCAAACCCCTGTCCGGAGGGCCACGTTCCTCAAAACTTGAAAAAAATCAATTTTCCTGCAAACAGGATTTTTTTCAAGTTTGCCTTGCAACATCTAAAGGAAGGCAGTAACGCAAAAGGAGGCCAGAGGTGAAACGAAAGGAAGACGTTAACGCAAAAGAAAGACCAGAGGTGAAACGAAAGGAAGACGTTAACGCAAAAGGAAGGCCAGAGGTGAAACGAAAGGACGACAGTAACGCAAAAAAAAGGCACCAGGTGAAACGAAAGGAAGACAGTAACGCAAAAAAAAAGGCACCAGGTGAAACGAAAGGAAGGCGGTAACGCAAAAAAAAAGACCAGAGGTGAAACGAAAGGAAGGCGGTAACGCAAAAGAAAGGCCAGAGGTGAAACGAAAGGAAAGCGGTAACGCAAAGAAAGACCAGAGGTGAAACGAAAGGAAACCGGTAACGCAAAAAAAAAGACCAGAGGTGAAACGAAAGGAAGACGGTAACGCAAAAGGAAGGCCAGAGGTGAAACGAAAGGACGACAGTAACGCAAAAAAAAGGCACCAGGTGAAACGAAAGGAAGACGGTAACGCAAAAGAAAGGCCAGAGGTGAAACGAAAGGAAGACGGTAACGCAAAAAAAAGGCCAGAGGTGAAACGAAAGGAAGACGTTAACGCAAAAGGAAGAACGGAGGTGAAACGAAAGGAAGACGGTAACGCAAAAGAAAGACCAGAGGTGAAACGAAAGGAAGACGTTAACGCAAAAGGAAGACCGGAGGTGAAACGAAAGGAAGACGGTAACGCAAAAGGAAGACCAGAGGTGAAACGAAAGGAAGACGTTAACGCAAAAGGAAGACCAGAGGTGAAACGAAAGGAAGACGTTAACGCAAAAGGAAGGCCAGAGGTGAAACGAAAGGACGACAGTAACGCAAAAAAAAGGCACCAGGTGAAACGAAAGGAAGACGGTAACGCAAAAAAAAGGCCAGAGGTGAAACGAAAGGAAGACGGTAACGCAAAAGAAAGACCAGAGGTGAAACGAAAGGAAGACGTTAACGCAAAAGGAAGACCGGAGGTGAAACGAAAGGAAGACGGTTAACGCAAAAGGAAGACCGGAGGTGAAACGAAAGGAAGACGGTAACGCAAAAGGAAGACCAGAGGTGAAACGAAAGGAAGACGTTAACGCAAAAGGAAGACCAGAGGTGAAACGAAAGGAAGACGTTAACGCAAAAGGAAGGCCAGAGGTGAAACGAAAGGACGACAGTAACGCAAAAAAAAGGCACCAGGTGAAACGAAAGGAAGACGGTAACGCAAAAAAAAGGCCAGAGGTGAAACGAAAGGAAAACACGTTAACGCAAAGAAAGGCCAGAGGTGAAACGAAAGGAAGACGTTAACGCAAAAGGAAGACCGGAGGTGAAACGAAAGGAAGACGGTAACGCAAAAGAAAGACCAGAGGTGAAACGAAAGGAAGACAGTAACGCAAAAGAAAAAAACAGAGGTGACGAACAAAACATATGGACTTTTTCTTTCCAATGGCTCCGATGGGCCGTATAATGGGCCTCCAATGGCTCCGATGGCCGATCTCGTCGCGGAGCACAGTCCAAGAGTTTAGCTTGAACATGTGCAATGCGGTTGCCTTGTTTCATTCAGTTCCCGCCCGGTTTCTTTCATTTTCGACTAGTGTGAGGCAGCCAGTCCTAGCGGTTTGTGCAGGCCGTATAATGATCAGCACTTCCGCTGCCCAGGGTCCTCAAATACATTGGTGATGAAAAACCCATTGGTAGAGGCCCCAAGAAATACAGAATTAGAATGCATTCGATAGGATTAGAATAATATGGTCTAATGAAGTTTACTGTTGATATACATATTTGGGATTGTTGTAAATTGTTGTGTTTTCCCTACCAGCGCCGGAACTTCTACGGGAAGTTCCAAGCGGAGAAACAACTTGTTTCGGCTGTGGCTTGCACGGGAACCAACGCTGTTCAAAGTTTGCTTGGTGGTGACACAGGCATTGTCTTGGCGATTTTTGGGCTTAAGACTACACAAGCGGGTAGGTGCAGCAAAGTTAATGTGGATTGAAGACCGATCAGCGCACTTTGTCATGACACTAAGGGTTGATCGATGTGCTACAGGAAGCATCGAATTTGGTGACGTCAATATCGAAAACCAGGATCTCACAGTACACGTCGCATTCCTGTCCCTGTGCACCGGGTGCATCCCAATACCCTGAACCGGAATTCGGCCTGCGAGCACCTGCACGTTTGGCCTGTCTTCAAAAGTTGCAATCTCAGCTAGGTGGAACAGGTACAGCATTTTTTTGCACGAAAAGGGCAAAGTAACGCGATAGGGTCTTCATGCTCCTGATGCGAAGTCGAGGAGCTTATAGAGCCTACAGAATTCTTGCAAGCCATAGAACCGAAAATGAGTAGACTGGTGACTGGATTAGATTGTTTCAAACTGTGTCAAAAGTTTCCCATGTTTTGCTGAATTTTCTCAGGAATTGGACCGCTAGCGGGACCTCCTTTGACCTGCCTACTGCTTAGATGCAGCATGACTAGAAGTCGAATCGATTCAGCTTTGACTTTTGACTCATTTTTCTAGCGGATCGGGCATCCAGGCTGGGTATGCACATAGGAACTCTGTGCATCCCTTTGCCAAGAATCAACTCAGTCTTATATAGTGCACGTGCCTGTCAACATGCCTTTGATTCGTTCATATATCTCTTTCAGTGTACTAGATTTGTTCATATGTCTTTGCTTGTCTTTGTGTAGTGTTGTGTTTGTGCTGCATAGTCTATTTGAACTTGGAGTTAAGGATAATAGTCATGCAGGAGTCATTGCCAAGCTTTGAGCGCCTGGAGATTCACAGCAGCTTCACTGGACCTAAGATGGGAACCAGCGGTGTCTTTCCACCCGTGCTCATTTAAAGTGTTTCTGTCTCTAATCTTTCATTTTGGCACATTCAAGTCGTGTTTGCAGGATCAGGGGCGAAGATTCGCAGGGAAAACTTCGAAGTTTGCCACAGGACCTTGATGATTCTTCTCAATTTGGTGGTAAAACACCATGTGTTCCCTTGCATGGCTGGTTGCATTAATCGCCTTTCGTCTCTGTTCAGCAAAAGGACACCCAGCGGAAAAGAACATTGGCAATCTCCAGAAGGAGAAATGTGCGGCAGGTTTGCAGCAGCTCATAACTTTGAGTCGTAGGGACAGGTCGGAGAAGTGCCATGAAGTGTTTTGTAATTTCGCAACTGGCAACTTTGGCAAGGACGAGTTGGCGCAATGCAAGAGCAACGCCCTCACCCATGTCACCCTGCGACTGAGAAAGAGAGGCATGACCAAAGCACAGCAATGGAAAACGGACTTTCATTAGGGCTGCAAGTGCATTGTCCTGTTCAGTCACCAAGGCCGAACGAAGGTCCTACCAAAGACATTGTTGCAGGCACATATTGTAATCATTGCTCCATTCACTATATGATAATCATACTAATATAGACTAGTATAGTATACGTGTATATGTATGTACGATCTATATATGTATATAATGTATGATATATGTTTATTCACGTGTATATATACACATATACACACTGTATATATGATATGTACACTGTATATTATATATATGATAATTATGATTATACATGTATGTAGAGTCAGATTGAGACGAACCTAGTCACAATCAAGTTTAACTCAACAACTTTTTGGGATCCATGCGCACCTCTCATGGAATGTCATGAAGATATCATGATGCAGATTCAATCAAATTCATCGCCCCGAATTTAGCCAACAGAACGATCTCACCACAGCAATATGCAAGGTGCCAGGGAGCTTGGCCTGAGTCTACAAGTTCGAGACATCCCTTGGCTGGACTGAATGTGTAAGTGCAGTGGAGTTCAAACCACACACACACATCTCTACACGTATATACAAGCATAATATCAAGTATATACAGAATATACAGTATATTTATAATCCACACACACAAACACTTTGATAGTCTCTGATATATGTATATATATATATATAAAT